TTAAAAATGGTATCGGAGGAACTCGGCACAAACAACAAAAGATTTCTCTGTTTTGCGACAATCGAGTGCCTTACATCTTGTAAGGAATCCAACATTTCATTCAAAGACAAAGCATATACGAGTACAAGTATCACTTCATTCGTGAGAAAGTGAAAGAAGGAACTATGGATATGCACAAAATTCATACCAAAGACAACCTAGCAGATTTTATGACAAAGGCAATCAAAGCTCGATAAGTTTATTTGGTGTCGATCCTCCCGTGGCCTCGATGGAGACATAAGCAACATGGGAAGACAAGAAGGAACTATGGATATGCACAAAATTCATACCAAAGACAACCTAGCAGATTTTATGACAAAGGCAATCAAAGCTCGATAAGTTTATTTGGTGTCGATCCTCCCGTGGCTCGATGGAGACATAAGCAACATGGGAAGACAAGATAGAAAGACTAGTGTGAAGATCCGATTGACTCTCAATCAAATCTTCAAGTGGGAGATTGTTGAAAAACAATAATAAACAAAACAAAAGGGGATTTCCGTGGATAATTTATCTATGGAAATCACAGCTAGATGTAACTTGCATGCAAGGCTTTCGTGGATAATTTATCCACGAAATCCCAACTCGCATGCAAGCTAGATCACAGCTTGCAAAATGCAAGCTCGTGACTCAGCCTTGCACCACCTAAATTGAGGCGGTGCAAGCAGGGGAGAAGTCTATAAATAGGCCTCTCCACCTTACTTTGATATATCCCACCATCCCATCTCAAAGAAGAGAGAAAAAATATGGAGAGTGATTTTTTCTATTTCAAGAGAGAAATTTATTGTTTTCTCCTTATAGTATGAGAGAGGGTGTAACTCCTATTATTTTTCATAGTGAAATTCTTCCATCTTGTCCTTGGTTTTTTCCCTTAATTTGTTTAAGTGGTTTCCATGTAAAATCTGTGTGTTCAACTTCATCTTTATTTCTCAAATTTATCAGCTGCGACCCTACTCTATTTGGTCGAAGACAATAAAAACAACCTCTCCCTCACCAACACAGCCTCACCAACATAGTAGACGACCCCTTATGCCCCCAATCGTATGCCTACGCACACAAACGGACCTCCTCGTGCAACACAACAATGGTGTGGTCATGATGATGTTACAATTTGCTTGATGGTGATCGGTTCGTAAATTTTACTTGATTATACCATTTTTTTATCAAGTATCAAACTAAACATGTTTTGACATTCATCTTTATCAAGGCTCGCCTATTTCGGAATGGAAGAATCCTTGCCTCGTAAGCTCACAACCGATGTCACAAGTAGTCTTATTAGGATTTTGAAAGTAGCTATGAACTTAATCAAAACTAAACCTCGGTTATTAGGTTTCTTCCTTGCTTGTTTCAGAAAATGATTCTTTAATTTTCTATCAAATAAACAATATAATCTAATTAGTGTGGAAAAATTTTGGCATGTTTACCTTGGTTTCTATGCTATAATACATCGAGTAACTTGATCTATACCAATATATGAATTTTTTATTTAAAATAGTTATATAAATGTATACATCTATCGAGTTGAAAACAAGATAAGGAATAACAATAAAAGGAATGCTCTATACAAACCGTATTTCGACCTTACTTCTTACTCAATTTAAAGCTAACATTCTATTATGATTATTTAAAGATAACATATGTCCTAATAACATAAAATCCATAACTATTGCTAACAAATACTACTTTGCAATACCTTGCACTTTCTCTTCTAACTCTTTCATGCCAAGCCTCATTCTTTGCATTTCAATGACTTCGGATCTCATCTTATCCATTTATTCAATAAACTATTTTTTTGTTTGCTTTAATTCTAATTAAACTTAAATCCTCATTTTCAAGTATTTTTACTTACTCGTTCTTTCCTTGAACTCTTTAATGCCAATCATCACTAAGCTTCCCAACTCGTAGTCGTTGCTCCATTCTTTAATCCACTTTCAATATCCATAATTATCAACCTAAAATATCACATAAGAATTCAAAGAACAATACTTTTCAATATGGACAAGACATAAATTTCATTTTGAAAAAACAATACATTTCAATATGGCCAACAAAGGAACTTTCTCTTGGGGTTCGATTTTTTTCATGAAATATATGTGATTGTCTCCATCTTATGCTTGGATAAAGGCATCTTGAAACTCGGGGAAGATATCTTTGAAGCTTCATCCATGTTAAAGCTACTATTCATAGATATTTCAGTTGCCATATGAACAATTGGTCCGTTTGGATTGTAGATTTGAATTTTTTTTTGGAACAAACATGAGGGAGGGTGTTGGATAGATAGTGGTTTGGGATTTTGAATTAAGGGATTAGGGTTTTTGGAGGATTTGCTTAAAGGTTCGTCTCTTGGGGTTTAAGATTTTGTATTTGAGGGATTAGGGACGAGAGAGGGTTTGGGTTTTCAATTATAGAACTATAGCAATTGCTTCGTGACGGAATGAGATAATGGGGTTGGAGGGTCCGTTGGTATAGGGATGAGAAGTAAGGATTAGACGAAGAAAGAAGAAAAGAGATGGTGGTCTTTTGGTTTTGTTCAAATAAAGAAAATGGTGGTCTATGGATTTGATCGATTATGAGAATATGAAGGTCGATGAAAGAGAAGAAGAAGGAAGATGATGTGCTATGCAAAATTGAAATAGAAAGCAAATGACATACGAGCTATGATTAAGGAGTTAGTTTTTTGAATTTATGGGTTCAATTCCATGAAGAAGACAAAGTTCGATTCGAGGAAGAAGGAAGGAGAAGACAAAGGATGACGAATGGAGGATCCGTGGGTTTGATTATGGGAAGAAGAAGAAAAAGTCGAAAGAGGAAAAAGGGAGAAGAAGATGAAGGAGGAAGAAGGGATGATCTACAAAAACAAAGACAGATGAAGGAGAAGAAGAAGTAAATCTGAAAGAATGAGGTACTCGTGAAAAATTAAATTGAATTTGAAAGTGGTTAAGGTTAATTTGAATTGGGGATTAGAGATTTTGTTATAATTGAGGTATATAGAGAATGTCATGTCTTTTAAGATTTGTAAATGATTTTCCACATCAACATTTACATAGATCGTACGTGGCATATTAAGTCCAACTATCATACTTCATCACTTGCTATGTCATCATTGTTCGAAATTTTGATAAGAAAATCGGATCAAGTACTTAGTATTGTTATTATAAGCTTAGTTGGTTGCCTTTTTATACAAGTTTTAAAAAACGAGTTAAAATAATTAAAAAATATTTAGTTCATGACTTTATGAAACATAAGTTTATATTATTTTATAAAATAATTAATAATATTTGCATAAAAAACCATTTCAATAATATGGTATCATTATGTGGTTTTTCTAAAATATTATTTTATTTTTTTTATTTGAGAGAAATTAATTTATAATATATTCAAATTAAATACATAAATAGTAAATAATTGGGTTTCCATGTGCGGATGCATAATTAATTTTTAATAAAATTAATATTTTTTTTTATATATATCATGACTATAATGAGTAGATTAAGAGTCCGCAATATATATATATATAAAAAACTAACTTGTAAATAATATATTAAATGTTTCAAACTTAATAGATCGAAATAAAAATTATTATAAAATTAATTTCTATAAATTTTGATTATATAAATAAAAAATAAATAAAACACATCAATTTTTTTCCTTCTTTAAAAATATATTTTTCTTCTAAGCCATATATGCATAGTCCCCTTGCATAAATCTATGCGCAAAGCGATCGTTTCTTTTCTTTTCTTTTTAACTTTTCATTTTTAATTATTAAAATAAAAATCTAAAAATTTAAAATAAATTATTTAAAATATACTTCTAACCTTTAGATTAAAACACACACGCACACATTATATGTGTCTCGTGTGAATTAAGTTATTTTTTAAAAAAATAATAATGTTTTAAAATTTTATTCCAAATTCCATGCATAGAATAAAATAAATCAATTTTTTAACAAATAAAATTAAAAAACATATAAAAATTATCTAAATAAGAATTTTCATAAAAATGATAAATTAAAAAAAATAAATTTTAAATAATAAGAGCAATATAATTTGAAATATGTATTCAAGTATAAAATCTAAAACACACACACACACACACACACACATATATTCTTTGCCAAGCTATGTAGAAAACCCAAAAAAATAACAATTGATTTTTCATAATTTTTGCATAAAATTCAATAATAAAAAAATTAAAAAGAAATTACTGAAAAGAAAAGAAAAGAAAAATAATAAAAGAAGCAAGCTAGGCTTGCGTCTTTGAGCTTGGAGAACTAGGCTTACGTAGGCCAACCGCTTTCTTTTTTTAAAAAATAAACTAAAAATAAAATTAGATGATATGTTGCTTGTGCTGTATGTACTAGACAATGTATCATACACCTACAACGTTCGACTAATTTATGTTCGTAAAAAAATCGGGGTACCTTTTTCTGACCTTCCAAACTTAATTTTAGCGTTTTCTTTTGTTCCAAAATACTTTAAAATAACTTAAATAAAATTGAAAACTCAGTTAAAATATTAAAACTTATTTTAACAAACATGTAAAACCCAAAAATTCAAAAGAAATTCAAAAATTCAAAATATTTTATAATTCTGATTTATTTTCTTTAACCATTTCATGACCTGAGACAATTATAAATAATTTTTTCTCATCAAAATATACATATTGAAGTCAAGATCGGCTTTCAACGTGCTTGAAATGGAATTTGCCGTGATTTTCTCTCTCCTCTTTACAATTATGATGAAACTGTAATTGGAATTTAAAACAAAAATATCTAAAAACAAATTAGGGACCAAAGTGCAACCTTTGTTAAAACATATAAAATGCTTGAAGAAAGCTTTAAAATTACAATAGTACCATTAATAAACAATTCGTATGAGTGATAGGGTTTTCACTGAACTGTCAAAACCGTAAGTGTTTGTAGTTGTTTTATTAGTTCTGGACAGAAATCAAGAGAGGGGCCAGAAATGGAAGACGAGCAAGTGGAGCCCCAAGTTTTCGCTGACCACGAAGACGACCCTCCAGTGTTAAGTTCACATGCTTTAGCTGCTTTGAAAGAGTTCCTCCAAGAACAACAACAACTCATCACTGACCAAACTGCACAAACGGGAGGAGAAGGAACTGAAACAGGAAATAGAGTTGCCTTAGTAGCAGAGGACTGGAGGCTGAGCCAGTTTTGGTACGACCAATTAACCGCAGAGACTGTAGCAAACGAGGTTCTTACTTTATTGAACAACCCTAGTTCACTCGCTGCTTGCATTGCTTGCCCAACTCTCTTTGCTTACATCAAGGTAATAGCACAAGATAGAAAATTTTAAACTGGGTTTTGCTTATTTTTGTGTTTTGTTTGGTTTTTGTAATTTTTGTGGCTTTTGGGTAACTGGGTTCTTTTTTTTTTTTTGGCAGAAAATTGATCCGAGTGTGAATGTGCAATTGTTGGAGTACGACAAGAGATTTGAGCAATACGGGAGTGATTTCACTTTTTATGATTACAACAAACCAGAAGATTTGCCTGATGAATTTAAGCATAATTTTCAAGTTGTTGTTGCTGATCCTCCTTACTTGGTTAGTTACATAGTTGCCTTTATTTGAACTTAAATTTGTGTCATTACGTTCTTGTTGTTTATTTCCATGTAATTACAATTTGTTATTACTTATGCTAATAAAAAAATTCGTAGAGTTAAAACTGTCTTTCAAGGAATATTTTTTAGAATTTTAAAGACATCTAATGAAATATATAAAATGTCTTTTATGGGGGTTTCTTTTGTGTTTTGACTGAAAGATTGAGGAGGTTTATTCGGCTTTTTCTTGTTAAGGTTGTCAAGGAGGATGGATTTGGCTGTACCTGTCTGTACCGTATTTGGTTTTAAACTTTTGGATTGCTTTTGGAATTATGAGATATCCTTTGGTCAGGCATAATGACCTAATTGAAACCTCTCTAGTATTGTTTTGTTGCGTCAGAATTTCAACTTGATTTGTAATTCCTATTAATGTTTAGTGAGCTATAGGTTTTCAATTTTGTTGAACTGTGTGTTGTAGTCCCTGTTGGATATGCATGTAGAGAAGCTCGTTTCTTGCCAAAGTGCCCTGGATCATTTCCTTTTTATTTGGTTTAGTTGGTGACTGCTAACTGTTCCATAGTCATGTGAAAAGGCAATGGTCTCATTTAACTGATGCTTATGATGGCAGAGTCAGGAGTGCTTAGAAAAGGTTGCTCAAGCAATTTCTTTTCTTGCAATACCAGGAAAATCTTATGTGCTGCTACTCACAGGTAAACATTCGATAGTTCTCTGTCCTATTATTATTGCTTTCTACGCATAATCTCTTTCTCGTTTGCAAATTCTGGTGAGTCTCTGATATACAATGCTATCAGTCTAGCGTCAGCAATCTGTAAATTGCTTGAGACAGATATTTGATAGAACATGTAGCAAGAGGGCCATGCTAGCAATACTCCCTTCAGCACTTGCTTGTTTACAACATCCACATTACATCTCTTTACTCTAATGGAACCAATAATTGCCAATAGGGGTTCCAGACTATTATGCTTGCCTTCCCCTAAACTTTTACGGGTTTACCCCACATTTGGTCCTTGTATTGTTCAATTTTTTTTGATTGAGACCTTTTACTTTTTTCCGGCTTGATTGAACCCTTCTGCTCTTACAAATTTATTGATTTAGACCCTCCGTTAACGGTTAATCTGACATGACAGGTTAAAATTAGTATTAACGAATCTCAAAAGGACACATGGTGTGGTGGGTCCTAATTATCACAAATTTGTAAAACTAACCATTAATATATTAAAATGATAAGAAAAGACAAAAAAGCCCTCACCCCAATTATCAGCAAAGTTGTTGATGCAAGTCTTAAAACCACTGTACTCTTCATCATTCTCCTGTTCTCTCCAGTTGAGAAATTGCAATTCTTAAATTCCAAAACCTCAAAATCCCTAAATAACTAAATTTCCATTATCCCAAACCCAAATCAGGTTTCTTCTCAACCCGTTCTCTCTATTTTCTCTGTATTGGAAGAAAATTTAAATTCGTAAAATGCCAAAATCTGAAAATCCCTAATTTCTACATTGTTCGGACCCAAGAGTATTGATTACGGTTGAGAAGTTCAACTCGAGGTTGTTTAAGTCAATTGTACTTTTGGATTATCAAACTCTAGTTAATGGATTGAAGCAGGATGAGTGAGATGTGTCATGGAGGTTTAGGAATAAGAAAGAGAAGTCATGGAGGAAGTATATATAGCGATTTTAGGAGGTTTAAGTTTGGAATTGGAGAGAATCATTCTTGCAAAATTTTGCATGCTGATGGTTGGCATTCTGGTATTAATGCCAGGAGGATGAGGATTAGAACTGCACCTGACCATGAAACTGCCTCTATATGATTGTGCTCTTATCTTTCCTTAGTTGCATTGGTTTCATCTAATGAGTCACAACCTTGTTAACTGGAACTTTCTTCTTATGGACGTGATCCCATTTCCTTCCTGATCCTTCTTGAGGAAAGATAACTACCTGATCCTTCCCACCCAGATTATAACTACCTGCCAAGCATATACTCAAGTCCATGACAACTGTCTTGTTCAAATACATAGCCTCAAACCACCCACACAAGAAACTCCACATGTAATGATTCATTCTCTTGCAGTAACCCTTCCTCTCAAATAATACAATTACTTCCTCTTTCTAAAGTTCGTTTATGAGATGTTGAAACATCACCTGATGCACTCGTTTCAAAGCTTCAAGGCATGATTCAGCTTTGGAGGAATCTGTATATAGCAACCAATGAACAATTATACAATTACTTTGATAAATTGAGGTCTCATTTCAACGTCCATTTACTTGATGATTGGAAGATAGGCAATTTGGTTGATAACGAAGAAGAGAAAGAGACAGGTAAGAGAGAGAGAGAGAACGAACGACACTGTTTTTTGATAAATTTGATTTGGGTTGGTGATAATGGAGTGGGGGAGTTATGTCTTTTCCCTTTTATTTTTATATACTAATTCTTAGTTTAATATAAAAATCTTTTAAATTTTAGTCTTTTTTTAACGACTGAAACCTTTGAGACATGGAACCCATTATGTCATGTGTCTTTTTGTTATTTGTTACTGTTATTTTTAGCTTGCCATGTCGGACAAATAGTTAACTGAGGGTCTCAATCAACAAATTTGGAAGAGTAGAAGGTTTCAATCAAGCTAAAAAAAATAAGGTCTTGGTCAAAAAAATTGGAACAGTACAAGGACAAAATGAGGGGTGAAGTTTTTTACTGTTGCCCATTTTTAATTCTCTTTTCCTGTCTCTTAAGATCCCTTCTATGGCCCCACAAACTTGCTTCCATGACACTATCTTGGTTGACAATTGTGTTTGGACCTTTTGCAGGAAAGTTCTGGGATTTTTAGATTTTTTTGGTAGAGAATATGTGAGTTTTGGACCTGATCTCAAATAGTATTGGGGAACTCTTGAATCTGGGATAAAATACATGTGGGTTTTCACTGCAGATGCTAGTCTCAGTTCTTGTTGCTCAAATCTGTTGATGGAACAGCTATTAAACAAATATTAATTGATTCATAGATCACTTTGGTATAATTTATTCAGAAAAGAAGAATCAACAAAGAGAAGTTACCTTGTTCTTTGTTGATGGAAAATTGAGGAGTTAGACTTGATTCTTGTCATATATTCAGGAGACAGTTATCTATCGATAATTGTTTTTTAGTGATTAATTCTCTTTCTTGCTTGGTCTTGCACTGCTTATAGTGATAGACGTTTTCTGTAACCAGCATGTAGTATCTTTTTCCTCCCACCCGGTAAATAGTTTTATTAAAATGAAGAGATATGTAAGGATGTTCTAAATGCTGAAGTGTTGAAAAGCAAATGTTAGAGCGAGTGTTGCTAGCACTCCCCTCTAGCTTTTTCTCAAGAAAATTGTATTGTAATTTTCTCTTCAGATTTTCTGGTGAATCTGATGGATTACACATTCCTGACTTGTAGGAGACGTGCAGAGGGATAGGGCAGCTGAACTGTTGGGATTGCGTTCATGTGGTTTCAAGCCTCAACATTCTAGCAAACTTGGGAATGAGTTTAGGCTGTTCACAAACTATGACCCTGGGATGAGGTTAGGAGGGTGGGAGCTGGAGAAATAGATGCTGTTTTCTCTCTCCATGGATCTGGTGAGTTGACATTGTTGCATGCATGTGGATATGTACTTTATTAGTACTGTATGGCATCTGCGCATTGTGTAAAAATTTAGCAGACAACTTTAACAACACATCGTCCAATCCCGAAGTTTAATACTGGTTTAGTTCATCGTATATGGGCAGACTTTGGACCATTGATTCGATGCGGAGCTTATTGGTCCCTGGGAGAATGATTATAAGTGGAGCCTTTCCTTTACCAATGAAAAGTCGAGGTATATCAATGCGTAAGAATGTTTACACTATAGACTTGGGGCGTATGGTGCAAATTTTTCAGCTTCCTTCCAAGCCCTGAAGATATCTTCTGTTGCTTATTGACGAACTCGGAGAATTTTTATTTATTTTGGATATGTGAATTATTCCAATGCAAACTGTTTAAGAGAGAGTTTTTGAGATTTTAATTAGAACTGCTTTCAGATGTCCTCTCTCTCTAGTTGAGTAAAACTCTGTGATTGTACTTTAATCAACCAATTTCTCTCTTCCGAGAGGAAATTTCAGCTTTATTGAACACTCTAAAGTAAAGTTCAAATTTCTGCCTGCTGTACTGGACTCATGTAGCATGGGTAATAGCATCGCTACGTCAGGGATAGAGGCCCATGTCTTGTAGCCCACTTCTCCATCCAGCTACAGAGATTCAATGCTGAGCCATTGGCCCACTGATGCTTCCGCAGTTGCCGCCTCAATGGGAGGAGGAAACCATTGTTAAATTGTATTGCCGAAATCCGAAACTTCAACGACTTGATGAGATCTCAACATTGGAAGATGAAAGATACGACCAAATTATGTAAGGGCACTAACACAAATGTCTTTGTTTCCTTTGAAAAACGGAAACACACAAAGAAAACCGTTTTAGACATAATGCAAAATGTAAAAGTGGATCTGGTTGGAGCAATGGAAACATGGTAGTGTCTAATACAGTTACTAGAGAAACCAAACAATGCAACGATGAGAGCATTTTAGATCATAGTTTTCAAAAACGGTCATTACATAACATAATAATCGTTACATAATGGAATCTGCAGTAGCTATTATCGTTTTTTGGCATTAAACTCAAATATTGGCGATTCATATGCATAATAATTGTTATACTATTATATAATATTAATGATCGTTATATTCGTTTTTTTATTAAAAAAAAACGCGGTTATCTTCCATTAATATTTAGATTTGTGCTTCAATGTTCATTTAGATTTAATTGAAACATAAAGAAAAAAATTTGTGAGGGAGAATCGATTTTTGAGGAAGGAAGATTAAAGATGTTGTTTTTAATGTAGAAAGGCAAAAAAATAAGAAGAAAAAAATAAAGAAGATGAAGTGGTGCTGCAGAAAATAAAAGGACATGAATAAGGAAGAAGAGACTAGAGAACAGAGAGGGAGGAGGAAGATGATCTAGGTGTTAGACATATTAGTATTTGAATTATACCTAAAAGAGTAATATTTTAGGCTGAGTCCATACTTTTAAATGGTCTATTGGACCTACTTTTTTTTTTTTAATACAATTTTAATTGCTCTTTACCTTTTTTATATTTTTTTCAAGTGATATTGTTGGGTCTAGTTTTCAATTTTTTTTTCTTTTACTTTATATAATTTAATAATATTTTTATTTTCCTTTTATTGCACAAAAATAAAAATAAAAATTATGAGTCAATTTTTCTTCCACTCTAGCAACCAATAACTAAATTATAATTTCATTATAACATTTTATGAACCATAATTTGAAACTTAGGTTAAATTAAAATTTCATTTTTAATAGTACAATTATTGTTGAACTATATATATAACTAAAGAAAATACTCTATGTTTATTTAATAAAACTATCAAATTAATGTGTTACAGATTGCTAAATAATTTACAATAATAATAGCCGTGATTGTTATATTTAGCCATTACAACGAACCTTCCGTGTTTCATCTCGAGTAAAATTTTCAAAGCTCATGAACCACGAAAAAAATAAGGCTCATGAACTGCCCTAAAGCATGAATATGTTATTCTGCATTTTTTTGGGGTTGTTATAGTGGTTAGCTTCAGTGAATAAAGTCTTGGTTATAACTCTCTGTTTGGCATTTTTCTCGGGTAAATGTTGCTCTTAGATTTATACCCGTCATGTTTTGATCTTTTGTCCAAGGACACCCACTCACTGGCTCAAGCAATTGATTTCAACAGGAAAGACTGGAAATGAGACGTCAGATGCCATATCATATGCACATAAATCTTGAGCTTTTTGAATCTGTCCATCTAACTCGTGCGATGCTGCTGGAGGTCCTGAACATGGCAGCCAACGTTTATGATGCTAAGCGCAAAGTCATTTGCAAGACATTTAGGCGTTTGCTTGAGCTAAGTGAGAGGCAAACTTTCACTGCTCCTCCTGAAAATGTCAGGGGTCATGTAATGGCTGCTACACGGGCCCTTATCAATGGAGTCTTCCAGATCAAGGCCTTTGATGTATCAACTCTCATGATGTCTGGAAGCTCCTCAGAGATAGAGATGGTGTTCTTGAGATGCTTAAAGCCAAGATTAAGGAAGAAGCTCTGAGGAGCTACCTCTTTTCCTACTCTTCCTCCTATGATTCACTTGGCAGCTTGGAACAGCTGACCGAAATGTTTGACCTCTCAGCAGTCCGGACTCAAATAATTGTCAGCAAAATGATGATCAATGAGGAGCTTAACGCAAGTTGGGACCAGCCAACACAGTGCATTGTCTTCCATGACATTGAGCACACAAGACTGCAGGCTCTGGCATTCCAGTTGACACAGAAGCTGTCAATCCTTGCCGTAATGAAAGGGCAACAGAGGCTAGGATCGGTGGCGGCAGTCTGGATCTACCTCAGAGGCGGAGAGAGGGCCAGGATTTTGCTAGTGTGGCAGCTTCAGGTGGTAATTGGCAAGATTTTACCCAGCGAAGGCAAGGTTCTAGTCGTTCTGGATATAGTGGTGGTGGTGGTGGAAGAGCAGAGTTACTAGCTAGGGCAGGCTGTTGGGGCTGGCCATTTACGAGCAGGAGGTGGATATTCTGGTGTCTCACGGTTTGAAGACGGTTCAACCCGCATGGTTAATCTCCCGTGCTTGAAGAAATTTTGTTATAGAAACTACTGGAAAGAGACTTCAACCAATTCTCAGCTTTTCAAATTCCTCTTGGTAGGAGGCTTATTTGGAATCAAGTAGTAAACTTGAAGGTTGTTTTGGTGTTTCCATTTCTTGTGTAGTACTCTTAATTATTACCACTCATCCTCTTTGTTGAAATCTTAATCTAAATTATGAACTTCATCACAAGTCATCCTGTTTCTAATCGCTTTTTGCTTAATTATTTTGAGAATTTTCGTATGTCTTTCTATTTTGTGGCTTCATCACAATCTAAAAATTGGATATCAATATTAGATAGAGTCTACATTCATCGTATCTTATCTTTATTGAAATTAAATAATTTGAATTTTCTAGATTTCTCTTATAACTAGATACATATGTCTTTTAATGTTTTTTTTAGTAACTAAGTTTATTGAGAATGTAAGTACTCTGTATGGGATACTTCATGTATTTAGTATTTATTATAATTCATGTATAGGATATTAATTATGGTTCATGTAACTAGAGTTAGGAGTTCATATACATGTCCCTTGTATTTGGTATTTGAAAGTATGTGAGTGAAGTGAGTATTACAAATATTTCTCTTCTAGAATTCCTCTCCCTCTAACAAAGTGATATCAAAGCCAAGATCTTAAGAGTTAGAAAAGAGTGTTGAGAGGAAAAAAATTAGAGAGATGGCAAACAATGGAATTCTTTCATTTCATTTTCCTCCTCTTACAAAAGAAAAATTATGAGAGTTGGTATCTTTGCATGAGAGCATTATTTGGCTCTCAAGATGTATGTGATATTGTAAAAAATGATTATAAGAATACTCAAGATGAAGATGATCTTTCTTAAAATGAAAAAGATGTTATGCTAAATACAAAGAAGTATAAACAAGCCCTCATCCTTATCCATCATCGTTTGGATGATTCTATGTTTGAAAAGATGGCCGATGCAACCACCTCAAGGCAAGTTTGCGAGATTTTGAAAAATTCTCTTTAAGAAGTTGACAAAGTGAAAAAAATTACTCTTTAATCACTAAGGGGTGATTTTGAAGCCTTCAATGAAGGAATCTGATCTTCAATTTCGAATTATTGTTCAAGGGTGAAGGCAATTGTAAATCAATTGAAGAGATGTAGAGATAAAATAGAAGATATTCATATGGTGGAAAAGATTTCTCGTTGCATAATTCTTAAATTTGACCATGTGATTTGTGTCATTGAAGAGTTAAAAGATTTAGATTCTATAACTATTAAGAATTGGAGGGTTCTTTGCAAGCTCATGAACAGAAGTTCAAAAGGCGACAAGAAGAGTCTTTAGAGCAAGTTCTCAAATCCAAGGCTTCTTTGAAGGATTATAAGGGAGAAAAGAACCAAAGAGGACATGGACAAGGAAAAGGATGTGGTCGTTGCCAAAGAGGAAGAGGTAATGGTGACAATTCTCATAATGAGCAGAAAAGCCACTCATCACCTAGTGGTCGAGGAAGAGCAACAGGAAGGGGACGTGGATACTGTCAAAGATCAAATGAGAGAATGTATGATAAGTTAAACGTTGAATGCTTCAAATGAGAGGGTGGAAAAGTGGCTCTTCTGGACCAAAAAAAATAAAAAATAATAATTAAAAAAAAAGAGAGAGAGAGAAATGAATGTACGAAGTCAGAGCCTACTTGATTTATTTGTGGCAAAAAATTTGTATCCTGAAATCTGAGCCTAGCCTGAGCACGAGAGGAGAGGAGAGGTGCATTCTCTCAATAAATAACCAATAATATTTACTTCACATGAGAGAAAATCATAAATAAAAAAGAACAATTAAAGATAGAACATATATATATATATATATATATATATATGAAAATATTCTTATCATTTTTTTTATAATTACGAATGTAATTTTTTTCTTTTCAAAATAGGTTATAAAGTAAGTATTAGTGCAAAATATCTCATAATTTTCTTGAACACTGAAAACAGAATTTACATTATGTATTGTACTTCGATATTCCATCCTATCACAGACACTCTTGTTATATTCACGACCACATGGCAAGCAGCTATTTGTATACCTTATATATACTGTGCAATTGCTATACTGTTAATTTGACTTCTCTGGTGTGAGGGAAGAAGAAAAGTACATCCATATGATATCATTGTTAGCTTTTTCAACCCAATAAGGAATTTTGTCTGCCAGCTTCAATGCACAACGAATAGTGAAGCTTCCGCATGATCTTATTGAAAGCAGGATCCATTCATAGTTTTAAATCATGATAATACTGAAATAATGATAATGAGATGTTCTAAAACCGTTACATAACAGCCGTTATATAACGTGACGGCCGTTGTTTAAAACTATCATACATTAGCAAATGGTTTAGCATTTGCTTTTGGTGCAGGTTTAGCCCCTTGTGGGTCCCCAAACACATTCCAATATGGCAAAGTTTCATCGCCTGCTGCAGTTGCTGCTGTGTATCCATCTGGGCTCTGGAGAAAAAAACATTGGAAGATTAGAAACGAATATGAAAAGAATTTCAAATTCTAAGAGGCAAGTTAAACTCGTTATAGAAATCTATGATTTAATTATAGTTCACTCTCAATACCTGAGTCATAAAGAGGACTCGAGAATTGTGACCTCTGACCTCTGCCATCTTTACCATGGACTGATATTTCCAGAGAGCTAAGCAATTCTCGCTCATGCTTGTTCCACTCGAGAGCACAAACCTGTGAGCCAGCATCCACTGAATTTAAGCATGCACTAGTGTGGGTGTTCCAAAATTTTAAGCACCTATCGTTCCCGCCTCCACCAGAGACTAGCAGATTGGTCTGGAAGGGACGCCAAGCCAGTGCTTTCACAGCTGCTCTGTGGTCTTGAAGCCTGTGAAGCCAATGCGTTGGTGAATTTGAGGAGGTCATTGATCTATCCCATATAAAGAGAAGGTTATCATTCCCTCCACTTGCTAATTGCTGGCTTGAAGGTGACCATTTCAGTCCACAAACTTCCTGTTGGTGTCCCCTAAATGTTTCAACAATGTGCTCTCTTATTCTCACATCATTGTTGATGACTTTAGCATCCATTCCTCCAGTTGTAATTATGTGATTATTCCAGGCAAGTGAATTTACTCGCATATGATGACCGCCTCTGAATGCTCTCAGCTGCACGAAAGACACATTAATGAGAATGATCAGTCGGATTCACAACTATAAAGAAACAAATGACGCCAAAATAAATAGAAGAGTGCACACCATTTGATCAGTAGCAGCTTCCCATATCTGAAGGTTAGAATTGTTCAAGCCTACAGCAATTTAACGCACATCGAATGCCCAAATGACGCTAGTGACAGGACCATCTTCCACAACAACAGTGACTAGTTCAGAGACAGAACCATTTGAACCATTCCAAAGAACCACACTTCCCCAAGAGCTAATGCAAGCACATTGTCGCCACCCCGATCCAGCAAATTCAAGCAGAAATCATCCACCACGTCAGAAGCATCCAATGTCCTCTCCGATGTCCGTAAAATCATTCCAAACCTCCAATCAATTCAGGCATAATTATCCAAAAACAGAACACCAGAGGTTACAGAAATAATCAGCAATTACGTCTATATGCTCCCAAAACCCTTATCAACTTATGCTATTACAAGCCAAACCCACAATTCCAAAACATCAAAAAGATGAGAACAAGCACAAACCTGAGGAATGAATAGGCTTTGGCGCTAAAATCAGCGGTCACTGAAATTTTGAAAATTAAGCTTGTTGCTGACGTGGGAAAGGGCGTTAGACGAACTTCCGTTAACGTTAGCATCATACGCGCGGTATCTGCGTGCCGTGCTTTTTGAGGTTGATGATTGGACTGGGCTTTCTTCTCTTCCTTTGTTTTTTTGTTTGTTTGTTTTTTTTTTTCCCTCTCTCTCGTTCGGATGGATCTGCTCTGCGCCCTCTACTCTAGGAGCTAAAAAAGCATTTGAATTTTGATTATTAATTTTTTTAATCAATTCACTATTATTATTAATGCTAATTCAATTAACACAATGCTTGAAGTGATACATACTCACATCACTTGTTCATTTATCAAAATACTATTTATAGTAACAGTTGGCAATAGTAAATAATGAAATATATATATAGATAATCAAAGCAGTAGAATGATAATATTTTAAAGTATAAAATCTCAAATGAAAAACAGGAAATAGAAAGTTTGAAAAAACACACTAAATCTATGGTTAATTAGGGACAGAGTATCAACATGGCATATGTAATTTGCAGCAACCAAAGAGAGAGCGAGGCACAATAACACTATGAATGCCTAACTGAAACCTGTTCTACTGAAATCACATCCTCAAGTTTGGTTACAGAAAAAGTTGTTTAATCTATTTTGAAGAGATTCGTCTTTTTTTTTTTTTTGGTTATAAATATTTGTCTTTATCATCCATTGATTGTCTTCCCAATTCATCTTACATTCTGTCTCAAGTTTCTGATAGAAATTGGAATAAAAACTAACAACACGAACATACTAATATCCTTTATAGATAGATGAGACTGGAACAAGACAGGGCTGTTGAATCATTTCTGGTCTAGATGTTCGTAGCTGACGAGTTATGAGCAGAAATCTGAGTCGTCCCTTCAAGCCTCAGCGCATTCCTCGACTTGACACTGCATCACTGTCTGATCTGGACTTGGAAACTCATGTGTGATGCTGATTCCATCGAAAGAACCACCTTTGACTACACTTAAAACATCTAAGTTCGAGTCCCCATCTTTAATATAACTCAACATTTTGTCTTGAATATGCCAAGAAATAATCTCTTTTTCCTTGAGTAAATTTATGAAGCCCTCTGCACCATCCAGGTCCCCACACTCTATCAAGAGCTGCAGACAGGGAACCCAATTTCTAGTGCTTGGTTTTCCATTTGGTCCAGATAAGACCATCATTTCCTTCATTGCTTCCGCTGCCTTTGGAATTTGGTTATGCCGAAGATACCCTTTTGCCAACGAATACCATGTCTTTGCATTAGGTTTTGCACCTTCTGATATTGCCTTCTGCAGAAGTGTTTCAGCCTTCTCCAAAAGACCTTTCCTAGAATAAGCATCAATAAGGTAGTTCGAAATAACAATATCAGAACACATATTTTGGGATTTCCAGTCCTCAAAAATCTTTTCTGCATAGTCAATGTCATCAAACTTCAACAGAGAGGTTATGATACTATTATATCTCCGATTCCTAACATTCTTCTTGTAAAGTGCCCAAATCCTCAAGACATCATCTTTCGTCCCAGCAGTGGCATATTGTGTCATAAGGGCATCATATGGTGTGCTTCTTCTTTCCCCAGCAACCAGTCTCTCGGATTTCTTCAGCATTTTCAGAGATTTGTCCATAAGCCCAACTTTTGTATAACCACTAGCCACAGCAGCATAAGTGGCCCAGTCCAAAACAACATCCGGATCAGATTCCATCTTTATTAGAGTCTTCTCTAATCCCTCAATGTCAGAAGCAGCTGCATACGAACTTAGGCGTATCGAATACGTAAATTTATCATGACAAATGCCATTTTCTTCCATTTCTTGCATCAGAGAGTCAAGCTTGTCAGTGCTTCCAGTTTTGTAATAAAGGTTCAGCATAACTGTGTAAATTAAGGATGTCCTGGCAAGACCCAATTCCCTTATCCTCTGCATCAAAGCCTCTGCTTTTTCCACAGATTTTAAATAGGCATAGCAGTTGAGAAGTGCACCATAACTCTCAAGTCCTTTTAAATTTTCCGGAATATTATTGAAATAATTTTCTACTTGTTCTAACCCATGAACTTTTGAGATCAAGTCCAGTCGCACAGCAACAGCACGTGATGTAAGTACAAAATATCTTTTGTCAGTCATCCACATCGAAATCTGGCCAAAATTAGTAAGATCCACTAATAAGGAGCCCACTTTATAAACCATAATATCATTAAAAATAAAGGTAACATCCAGTATATACACCATCTATATCAACAGATAATAACATGCATTAGAATCTCTAACATTAATCTATCGTTATGTAAAAGAAGCAGAGGTACAAGACAAGAAAGAAGCAATATCAGAATCCCACAGCATCATATGCACATAGAATGTCACGCTTGACAAGGCAAGTAATTAGTAAGTAAATTAACTCACTTCAAAGTCTCATACTGCTTGTGTGAAGTGGCACAATAATGTAATGCTATAACCAATACCATGCGGGCTGCGAGCTCATTTAAGCCAAAATTTAACAGGAACTGCCAACACAGACAGAAGTGAATGCTACCACAAACATAAGGGGTATCCTAATATCATTCCTAAGTTTTAAAAGGCTAAAATGTTTGTTCCCAAACATAGAAGTTAATTTTGCAGTTTCAGTTTCAGAGTTGGTAAAGAAAGTTGAAGATACGTTCAAAAATTATGAAATTAACTATACTAATGCCCCTCTTGAACCATGTGCATGTTTTAATTCCAATGGCAATCTTGATATCAATAACAGTAACGAGTTATTAAAAGCGACATGTCGAGAAGATTCTGATGTGGAGAGGAATGAGAATAGTAATTATAAGATTTTTCGTAAACCGTTTTGCTCAAAAACTTAAGCTGTTAAGTTAGACTCTAGAATATAATTTATATTACTCTCTAATATGCTCCCTCAAGTGAAAGCCCTGACATTTGAATTTGAAACTTGCCAAGTTCCACATTGTCTTGTACTTAATATTTCAGAAAGCAAGGGTGGTGAGATTTGAACTCAGAACCACATGATCAACCAAGCTCTGATATCATATCACTACCACAAGCACACTGAATGCTTCCATCCCCATTTGCCTTCTATCCAGACTTCAGCCCCATAAAACCGACAGAGCCAGTCTTTTTAGGTAAATCAGTTGGCAATTCACATTTTCGTTTCCCTTGTACACCATGCAAATAATCAAATCCTCTATCAACATACTCAATAACAACATCAGGCCCACCCCCTTGCAAGTGGACAACACAAATCTCCCAGCAACAGACAAGACAAAGATCAGAAGAACAGTTTGAGCAACTTCTGTTATAATCGAAAATAGAAGTTCTGCAATTGTCAAAGAGCATGCACTTATCTGCAAGGCATCTAGAATTTTCTATTTGTACGCCTGCAGGAGGTACACTTCCAAGTTTAAATTTTTCAAGTCTTTCAATGGTGCAACTAGATTTACAGTTGCATATTCCAAGACAAACTGGACAAGCATTAGCCATATCATCTTCTGTCATCTTAGGATACCATTTCGTCAAGCAGGGGACGCAATAGCACTTCTTTTTACATTTCAGGCACCAAACAACACTGCCATTATCACTTTTGTGGCATTGGTGGCACATTAAACACACTTCCTCAGTGAACTAACTAGTGCGCTTGGATTTGCTGCCCTGCCCAACTTGCTCTTTCCAAGTCCTAGGCCCATGCCAGAGCTCATCATCAAAGAATTTCCTTCTCTTTCACCACTTTCTTCTTCTCCTTCAGTATTCTCCTTCTCCTCCTATTTATTTCTTCTTTTTTGACTAACTTTCTTTTTCCTACTATTCACAACACCAGTTTCACTCTTTGTCTCACTTTCCAATCTATCCTGATACTTCTAAACATCTAAATTCACTTGTTTTGCAATCAAATCCTTTTTCTTTATGAAAAACTCCAATTTCAAACTCCTCCACTCCCTTTCCCACTCCACCAACTTTTCCTCTGGAACCTTCCCCAGTATTACCATTACTCTCTCCTGTAATTCCTCATGCAAATCTTCAGTGTATAAAGATGAACGTAAAAATGGATACTTCTCCCACAAATCCTCACTCCCCTCCTCTTCTCCAATCATTTCCACATTCACCACCCTCTTTTGCTTCTTCACTCTCGCATCTTCACCTATTTTCAGCTCCTTATTCTCAACCTGCTTCTCTATTTTTCCACTTTTTCCCTTCACTTCTCCATTGACTTCCTCACACAAAACCATCTCCACCTTTTCTTTTTGTCCACCCTTTTCTTTCCCTTCTCTATTGACTACCTTCTTCCTTTTCACATTCCAATCCTCTCCCCTATCAGCTTTCTCATTCAAACCATGCTTTTGCTTACCAGCACCCCATATCTTCTTGGCAAGCTCCAAGAACTCCAAGTCATGCAGTTTACTAAAAATCTTATAATTACCATTTTCATTCCTCTCCACATCAGAATCTTCTTGACGTGCTGCTTCTAATAACTTGTTACTATTACTGATATCAAGATTGCCATTGGAATCAAAACATGCACATGGTTCAACAGGGCATTAGCATAGTTAATTTCATAATTTTTGAACATATCTTCAACTTTCTTTACCAACTCTGAAACTGAAACTGCAAAATTAACTTGGAGATGTTGTCTTTATTCCTGCAGGCTGTCCCCATCAAGTTAAAAACTTGGATTGCCTGTCTTGCATTAAGGTAGCACTGGACTTTGTCTCGCCTGAAAGTGTTAGTGAGTGCATACGTTTGAAAGAGGAATTCCATTTGCTTCCCCCAAATCACCAGGCTAAGGAGGACAAGTTGGAGATAAAGAAAACGTATCTTCATTCTGCAAGATGGGTTGTGGATTTTCTGACAAATGATGGAAAAGTGTCAGAGGACTATTTCACTCAAAAGCTTAAGCTGTTAGGTGAGGTCCTAAAATGTAAGTTATGTTACTCTCTAACAAAGCCGAAGTTTATCAGGAACTGCTAGCACAGACAGAAGTGAATGCAAACATAAACATAAGGGGTATCCCAATATCATTCCTAGATTATAAAAGGCAGCACTATCAAATCACAACTAAATAAAACCAAGAGAAATGCTGTATGAGACTTTCTTGTTACAAAAATAGAAACTAGTTCAAAACTTAATTGGGAAAAAATATTTAGAAATTTATGCTCAGGAGCCTCATGCGTTGCCACTTGAGCGTAACTTTGAGCATGACGAGAAAACTACTCCTTTTGATTAAAAAAGAAAAAGGAAGATATTTATTACATAAAAAGAATTTGCAAAAAAGAGGAGCATAAGATTTTCTCATGGGGAATAACAAAAATAAAATTCAATACAAAACTGCTTTCCAGGTTTGCTTGAAATCAGATGAAGCGATGCCACTAAACACTACTGCTTATTTGAGTTAAGTAAATGAATATAAGTGTAGAAATGGGATTCGTGACAGTAATATAGATAATTTTTCTAAGTGACAGTTCAACTCTTTGTAATTTGCCGAAAATCAACATCTAGGATTTCAAAATTTCTGCTTACAACTTAGTTTGAGTAGAAACCTTCGTGAAACTTATATAAAACCTTTTTTTTCCTATTATTTGCGCTAACCAAACTTGAATAGAGTTAAAATTCATATAACCAAAGTCCTTTTACTTCCAAACAAAAAGACATAATTAGACGGTGAAATGCAATAAGTGTAAATACTTATTAGTTCATAATCACTTACAAATGGTTTCTTTACAACTTAAATAATATTTTTTTTATCTTTTCTATGGTAATAAAAAAATATTGAAATTGCACTTAATTATTTGCAACGCTGGCAATTATCATAATTACCATGCAATTAGCTAAATTACATAAATATAAGATAATTTTTTACGGTTCATCAAATGAATCTATTTAATAGTTTGTAATCACTTACTTGACATGAAATGAATAGTATTTATTTTTTAAAAAAAATAACAATGTATTTTTTGGGTCGTAATTGAAGGATAATATTAATAACTAGTATGATTATTTGAGCTAGCAAGACTTGAATAGAGTTATAATTCATATAATCAAAATCATTTTACTTCGCAAACAAAAAGGCATAAGTATTCTAAAAGCAAAACCATAAAAAATAAATAAATAACACGAAAACAAATTTCACATTTGATATTTAATTCATGATTCCAATATGCAATCTCAACAAACAAATCACACCCATTTCGTATTATCAAAAATTAAGTCAACCCAAAACAAGTTCTTAACCAAAGCCATTTCATTCTTTACCGTTCAGAGGCCTAAACTTTATCAAAAAAATTCAAAAATTTAATGGGATTAAATACCTCAAGAGCATGATTATAACGCCTGTAGTACCGTAGCTCCTTGATTAAGGCATGAATTAAAGCTTCCTTCACGGTTTTTCCTTCTTGAATCCAGTTATCGAGAACTGGAATCACTGAGACTTTATGGTCTCTGATTCTTGAAAGACGACGCGACAGCTTATTGAAAGAATCTTTCCATGGTGGTTCTCTAGACCTTGGGTTTCGTATGTTTGAATAGAAAAATCGAATGCCCACTATGTTTTTGAGATTCAAACGACTGATCGTGGAGAATACATTGGTTAATCTAACAAGATTCATTTGATGCTAAGAACACCAATAGCAACTGTGAATTTGAGAGAGAGTGGCTTAAGGAGGGTTTTACAACTGTGATTTAGCTCAATTTGGTGTTGAAGGTCCAAAGAGAAAATTTAGATTAGGATATAAAAAATAAATTAATGGCAAAAATTATCTCCGAATTACAGGGCTATGACAATTTAAGATCTATAACGTTAATTTGAGCTATTTATATCCCAAACTGTTATTGTTGTTTAGGTAAATATTTTTTTTCATTATCTTTAATAGTCAAAACTTTAATCATTAATTAACATATGAGTTAATAGCAAAACTTATTTTCATGCTATTAAAGTTGTAGTAAGATAAGATTTATACTATCAATTTACATCATTTGAATCATAAACTATTAGTTTTTTAAAACAAATTATATCACTCTCTATTATTTCTTACAATCAAAGCATTGATCGTTTTTTAATTAAAATTAATTTTAATTTTGTTTAATAATAGATAGCTTGATTTTATTGTTTATGGATTTAACTTTTATTGTTGAATAATTAATAATGTGTAATAGATCCATTTAATAACAGAAAAAATTTATTATTTTTTAAAAAATTAATATTAATTTCAAAAAAATAAATATTTAATAATAATTAGCTTTAAGGCGGCATGGATGATTTTTTGTTGTTTATGGATCTTATTTTTCTTGTTACATAATTAATAATGTGCCATGAATCAATGTAGTTAAAAAATAACTTATTTATTTTTTAAAATTAATTTTAACTCTAAAAAATCTGAAATGCTTAAAACAACGTCGTTTTAAGCATTTTAATTAACGGTCAATATTTTGACTATAAAAATTAATTTTAAAAAATAAATTTATCAAAAATATTAATAATTTAAAATTCAAATTGTCCAAATTTGTAATATAGATTTTACTTAACTACAACCCCGGTAGTTTAAGGATAAATTATGTTGTCAAGGTTTTAACGAGTTAGAGATATAAAAAAATATATATATATTTACCCATAATATATTAGTTTAAGATCCATTTGATGGTATGAGCCTTAAATTACGATAACTTAAGAGTTTGGGGAAATTAATTAGCCTCTTAAAGGTATGCTTCTTCCTGCATAAGAGGGTAAAAAAGTCTAACTATTAGAAGATAAGAACAAACTAACTAAAAAACGAGAAGAGATCCAAACAAAGGACAATTAGGATTTAGAGATGTGAAGCAGAAAATTAGCCGCATGTGCTCGATACTAGGATCACATCAAACTAACCAATAGGCTTTCTATGGGTGTTTTGTAACAAAAATAATGTCAATAAAATTTTTTTTCTCCATATGGTCCTTACATAATCATCTTGACTAAGTTTACAAGCATGTTCTTTTAGAAATCCAATCCCTTTAGGATTCATGTTTCTATAAGAATTTATGATCATAGTCTTTTTAGAATTTAGTTGAGGAGGCTCCTGGACGAATCCGTAAGACTATGTACCCTTTATTTTAGCAAATTCAAGTGATGGTCTAAGACTAGATTCTTTACGAGGCCCTTTGAACTTTTCTTCAAATTTCCTCGGATTGGCTTCCTCTTTAAATGCCCCACCAATTATTAAAAGAAAAAAAGGAAAAAAGTTAGCATACCAAAAAGAAAATAATAATAATAATTGAAAAAAATACTAAGTTTGGTTTACCTATCCTTCAACTCTAGGTCAAAGATTACTCTTTAGCCGGAAGACCGACTTGATATCTATAGCCTCTGTCTCACCCACTTCCAAAAGTCCCGGTCGGTAAGAGACCGTAAAGGGACAATGTTAAAGTCACCATAAGACGTGCTCGCAAAAAAAAAAAAACGCCCTCACACTTTCCTATCTCTCGTCTGCAGGAGCATGCCTTTTATACCTTACCACAAACCACTCCTCCCTTCGAGTCTCCTATGAGGTCAAGTTCGTTACAAGCACTCCTCTCAACAAGTTCAGCTTTGGCTAAAAAAAGTGTAAAGTTGTGCTATCCCCCTTGTTCTCTAGATCTTTCGATCCGAAAGTAACATATCTAAAGAGTATGTGAATGGGAGAGACTTTAAATTACCTATAAAATTTCTTAAAAGTAACCATAATGGCTCATTCATTTCCATGAAGTTGAATCGCACACAAACCATAATGTAGTTATAAGTTAACATTCCTTTTTCTAGCTCTAATCGACTACTCACTAATCATATCATCTCAATTGAGAATGATTGTGAGATATTCTCACTTCAAACAACTATTAAGAGTAGCCAAACTCTCGCACCCTAATAGTGGCTTTCACTAATTAGAGAAGACCTAAGCTCCCGATCGACCACTTAAAAAACTAGCCTCTCCGTATATAGACTAGTCTAGCCTCTCGAAGGAGCCCCGCTCAAGATAGCTTTAGAGTCACTATTTGCTTTATTTAAATCTACCATTTCTAACCAAATAAAGAAATGGACAAAAAAGCGCTCGAGGTCGTAACCTAGCGAAATGAGGGCTTATCCCCCGAGGACCACCCGGGTTTGACTCTCTCGCGCACGCTTGTCATCCTCGCAAGTGCCTTACATGCCCATTGGGCTTGCAGGGTGTTCAGTGGGCTCTGTGGATTAATCGAGGTGCGTGCAAGCCGGCCCGAATACCCCGGATTAAAAAAAAAGAGGACAAAAAAGTTTAAAAATCGCCTATTAGAAACGTAGTCAATCACTATAGGAAAACATTTTCTCCTTAGCAAAATCACGGATCTAGTGATAGTTGTCACCTTAAAAGGATTACAAGAGATCCCTTATGAGTTTTTCATAAAAATAGATTGCCTAGAGTCTCTAAACGATGCTCACAGATTTGTCAAAAATCTCATATACTAGACAACGAAAAAGAAGAAAAAGCAAGAACAAGCCAAAATAAAGAAAAAAAGAACTCACTAGCCATATATAGGCTCGAAGCACAAGTTTTTGCATCCGACCATCCAAAAGCCCATGCTTATTTTGCGAGCTTAATGTGAAGTGGTCCAATTATAACCGAGTAATAAGAGTTATGCAGCAAATAACATGAACATAATTTAATGGGCTTTGGAGATTTCAAAAGACCTATTCCCTTCATCTTTTTCAAACTCTCCCATACATAATCGTTTGGCTTTTTCTTGATAACATAGTTGTCAAAACGAAGGTTAAAAAATATCTCACATAAACACAACTAAAATAAATTAAAAAAAAATAAAAAATAAAACAAGTTAGAAAAGCCATTGATCATCACATGCATTATGAGCACTTCTCTACAAAGCTTGACCACCAAAATAGTCCTCACAAAGCATGCTTGTCAAGACTTAGGAGTACTAATGTATCCAGATGACATGTGTCATCATATTACTCATGAACTCCAATCCAAACATAACTAACAAATAAACCAATCATTCATAATTGTTTTTACGGATGCGTCACATGGTATTAGCTCGGATGATCGATATAAATAATTAAAAGTTATTTCATCAACCAAAGAGATAAAGGATACATTCATTTAATGAAGATATGCTCTTCGTACTATCTTTGTCTAATCAATATCAATTATGATGTCACAAAAACCATCGAATAGTAATCTATCATCGATAATAAAATTTGTATCTTGAGTTGGTGTCGAAACTATTGACAATAAGAGACTAGATTGTCCAACTCTCCTCTCCATGTAACTTGATCAAATCATTGGTCGTTTAAAATGCCGGTATGTTAGAGGTTAAAGGTTCTACTCTCTCAATCCTACAACTGCTATTTATTATTTTCTTGCACACTTCCATTACTACACCACAATTCTATCGAACTCCCTTTCGTCTTTATATACTAGTTTAGTTATGGTAGATTCTCTAACCTATCAAAAGGACTTGTTCCGTAGATACATCGAGCTATTAGATCCCCATCCACCGTCGATCTCCATCGTTCCTTCAATCAAAAGAAAAGTGAACTCATGACCAAATACTATTTCGACGTCTACGGCCTCCTCAATTTGTATAACTATACCACAGTAGGTCATAAAGGCACTCTTTGGTGGCATGCCCATATAGCATGTCTAAGGTCACCTGCCAGGTGGTCCTATCTTTATTCTAACTAAGCGTGGTGTTCATCACCATTTGCCAAACCTTACAAGGAAGTTCCATCAACTTATGTTCATGTTTTAAGACTTAACAATATCAAAACCCCAAAAAAATCATTCTCTCTCCTGTATAATCTACTTGTTAAAATTTAAATGTCTAGCTAGTCGTAATCTGTAAGTAAACTTCGAGCATCAAATTGAAATTTCAAATAGTATCGTTTTTTATTTTTTCCTTAATTTTCGACTCTTTTAGGTTTTAATAATTTTCGATTTTGGTTATTTTTCAATTTTTCAGATTCGTTGTCAATTTTCAAAGGCTATGTCCACGAATAAACCATATAGGTGTTTTCTTTTTGTTGTTTTTTTATATATAGTATTAAACCATTAATATTAGTGGATATTCAATAAAATAGAAGCTAGTTTATGTACTTAAAGTCTGCACTCAAAGGATATTTAGATTATAAAAATGGTGAAATCATGAAAAAAAAAAAAAAAACAATCCAACCCAAGCGAATGCATAGGCCCCTCAAATATTTTTAAAATATACACTTAATGACAGTTTATTTATCGTTGAACCAACTTGTTAATAATAAAACGAGTTTTGTAAATCGTATTACAATATTATTAATATTATTATATTATTGATGTAAGACATGACTATATATTAGCGTGACAACCAATAGATTGCACATATTAAATGTCATGTAAATAAATATATTAATATGATAGTTAATAATTCAATATTATCTAAGATGCTGACGAGGGACATATCAACAAATTTTGATCAACTGATCGGGCAATCACGGAATCATTAAATCAAATATTACTTGAAGAAATATAGTAAATTCATAATTAATAATTAAATATATGAAAATACGTCACGGTAACATACACATAATACAAGCTGATCTAGACCTACTAGGGTATCATACATCCGCATTATAGCACCGTAGGTATGCAGCTGTGACGTTGATTCCTGAGGTGTCCTACATCATCGATGTAGCATGGCACGAAAGTTATCCTGCTCTTTTCTCTTTTGCATCTTTATACCGAACAACACTTAGATTGTCTCTACTTGATTGTTGGTCCAAGTAAATTAGATTTAATCAGTTCATAAATGGGTAAATGAACAATCATATTAAAATTGATAACATTTAAGTGATTTAATAAAATGAAAATGAAAATCAATTTTTCATTTTTATGCAATGAACATGAATTTATTGAATAATAACATTGTTCCAAAGAATCACTCCATCAGGGAAAGTGAGGATGACCATTGACTATCATAATCGTACTGTTATATATGCATAAAAACTGGAAGTAACATTTTCTGGCTGCTTCAATATTTTACCGGATGATATATGCCCTTGATGGGAAGCGTTTAACCGATGATATTGGCTGGGATCATGGCCTCAGCCTACAGTTTACATCTATGGACAGCTGATGCCATTTCACTTGAGCTTTGTCACTAGAAATCCATCAGCTTGTGAGCTACAATGCTAAAACAAACCACCTATCAAGCACACCACATGTAGCTTAATTTGCATTATAACTCGGGCTACAGTAAGTGGAGTTCCCCAAACTAAATCCATATTCCCATGTGCCATTTGGAGCTTTCCCAAGTTCCCCAGAATTATATCTGATGTGTTCCTCGCTGCAGCTCTAATTGGTCTGCAATGACTGCAATAATCCTCTGGCTTTAGTTTCACTTCAGCAGCACTGAAGAATCACATTTCGAATTTTGAACCAGAGCTTGCATCAGCAATTGTTATCAAAAGTGCAATATAATTCAATTGTCCTGAACATTGACACAGATGATATTCTTGTATCCCAGTTAACAAACTCAACAGCTACCTCCAGGGTCTTCCTCTTTCAAGTTTTTCAGGGCTCCACCAGTACCAAGAAACCAGGATTGCTTTCTTGATCATTTCCACCGCCAGTGGGGAAGAAACTTTATTGTGGAATAAGACCATGAACATGCTTTAGTTTTCCATGTATTTGATATGTGCCCAGTTGATAAGGATTTCAGACTTCACTGAAAGACCAGGGAAAAAAGATCATTTCTGCAGGGTGATGGGAGAACTTGGTAGCTTTCCAAGCAAATCTGCAAGGAAAAGTTGCTTAATCATGGAACAAATCACTGCTAATAGAGGACTACCAGAAGAAACATCATCCCCCCCAATTTAATTTTTCAGATTTGTGTCTGGTTTTTTTTCCCTCTACCTGATTCACAATAATTGCCAACCCCTCTGACCTGAGAATCCAAGTTAATTGTTATTCAAAACACCGAGCACATCTAAGATTGAGTTTGCATCCTTAAATGTGATTCAACAATCTTTCTTGAATATCTAAAGAAATAATATCATTATGCCCAAGTAGCTCCATGAAATCCTTCACTTTCTCCAAATCTCCCCCTCTTTCAAGCACTCCAGATAGGTAGCTAAACTTTCATTGCTCAGTTTCCACTTTCGTCCAGAAACCACTACTGCTTTCTTCATTGCTTCCACAGCGTTCAGAGTTTGACCATCCTGCACATACCCTGTTGCCAAATAGTACCAAGTTTTTGCATTAGGTTTCCCTCCTTTTGATATTGCCCTATCAATTAACGTTTCAGCCTTCCCCACAAAACCTTTTCTCGAATAGACTTCAATAAGGAAGTTTGGAATAAGGATATCATAACAAAAACGATTCTGGAACTCCCACTCCTTAAAAATCTGTTCTGCATTTTCTAAGTCGTCCAACTTCAATAGAGAGGTTATGATACAAATATATGCCTCTTTGTAAAACTTCTTGTTCTTCTTGTAAAGTTCCCAAATTCTTAAGACTTCATTTGTCTTCCCTGTTGCGGCATATAGGGTGATAAGAGAATCATATGCTGTTTCGCTTCTTTTACCTGTAATTAGTCTCTCAGATTTCTTCAGCATTTCCAGAGCCTTGTCAATAAGTCCAACTTTTGTATATCCTTTCGCAGCAGCAGTGTAAGTCGTCCAATCCAAAAAAATGTTGGGATCAGATTCCATCCTTGTCAGAGTCTTCTCAATGCCCTCAATGTCAGCAACAGATGCATATGCACTCAGTTGTATAGAATGTGCAAATTTGTCACAGCCAATGCCATTTTGTTCCATTTCTTGCATCAGATTGTTAATTTTCTCAGGGTTTCCAGTCTGATAATAAAAATTAAGAATGACATTGTAAACCAAGGATCTGTTGGCAAAACCTAGGCTCTTCATCTCCTGCACAACAGACTCTGCTTTTTCCAAGGATTTTGCTTTGGCATAGCATTTAAGAAGAGCACTATAAACCTTAATGACTTTCAAGTGCTGTGGAGTATTATCGAAGTGCTTCTGTGCTTGTTCTACCCCATGAACTTTTGAGATCAAGTCCAGCTGAATGGCAATGTCACGTGATGCAAGTTCGAAGTACCAATGGTCAGTCATCCACATTGAAACCTGGGGAAATTTAATCAGACGTACTTATCAGGAAATGAGATAGTGAAATAAGGAAGTGCTTTTTTTGAGAAATGAAATAAGGAATCAGCTAAAGGTTTATCCATCAACCTGAGTGCAATGAACTATTCTGCACAGCAATATAAGTTAGAATGATAGTATAGTTGAGCTTTTAGCCATCAATTTCCATGAAAGGTACAACAACAGGAAAGAAGGAAACAAGAAATAATGTGGAGTTAATCCACATGAATTGCACATAAAATTTCAAGTAGAATATCTTGATCATTCTTGAATTACTATTATGGTTAGACATTAGTTCTGTAATGACATCCAGTGCTCTATCAGTTTGCTATTTGTAGTCACACATCAATGGCATAAGTTATCATACAATATCAAGCCATATTAGTCAGGACTTCAAATGTGTCCAATTATCGGTTCAAGGAACACTGACAAGTGACCACCCCACACTTCATAGACCATAAGCTGCAATTCAATCGCTAGAAAGATACACTCTCCATGGTAATAGTTTCGGTATTATAAATCAAGCATACCCAACAAGTCTAGCAGGACCACGTTAAACCAAAAATGAGGCATTGACAGCAAGCCCATGCTACCCCATTTTTGGACTCAGCCTAAAATTAGCTATTCAACACCACCACGAAAAAACTTATAGGGAAGTAGTAGTGGCTCAAACTTATCACCACTGCTAGTGGAATGGACATACTTTAATTTGATTGAACACAATAACACAACCAGATGTTCCTAATAGATACTCAAGACCAAAACAAGACGAACCCAACTAATTCAAAAATGAGATTACAAGACTTGTTTTTCAAACAAATAAATTATTGGACATTTGGGGCCAAAGTAAAAACTTTCAGACAAGGATATAATAAAACATGTATATTTTTGTCCTTCATATCCTAAAAATTTAAACTACCTAGAACCAACCAAGCAACAAAGGTTATTTTTATTTTTCTCTTCTCAATAACCTAACAACAAAAACAGAAAGCTATATCAAAATGCCATTTCAATAACAGCAAACACTCATTAAGCAATAAAATCGGCTGTTCTAAAAACCCTATTTGTTTAAATCAAAACCCATTTCAATACACACACACACACACACACTTGTATATATATACCTCAAGAGCATAAGCATAGCGTTTGTGGAACCGGAGCTCCGTGATGAATTCACGGAGCTTATATTTGTTGATAGGTTGTCCTTCACGGAACCATTGATTGAGAAATGGAGAAATAGTGATCCTTTGATCTGCAAACGAAGCTATTCTGCTGTACAGCTCGTTCATTGCGTCTGTCCATGGTTTTTTTGTTCTTCCAGTCGGGGTTGTCGAGTACGAACAATCGCTAACAAATTGCAGTTTTGGAGGACCCGTTACAGTGTATTTGATGATTGCGCGTAGTGTTGTAGTAGTTGATGGAACAAATTTCATCATCTTGAAGGATGGAACAAATTTCATCATCTTGAAGACTGACATAGCTAGAGAGAGACCGCGGAAGAACGGGAGAGATGTTTGACACTGGTTTTTTTTTTCCCCTAAGAATGAGTAAGGTTTCAGGTTAATTTTACGCTTTGTTCCAAAAAGAAACCCATTGTCAAACGATTTTAATTTAATTAAACCCCCATCTGCCATCTGGCCGTCGGCCAGGTGCTTTCAGGAAACTTGAGTCCGATAATATTCCAATAAAACAATTAATGATAACATTAATATTTTCTTAATTAAAAAAAAAGAAGAGGAATACCATATTTAATTTTTCTCACATTAAAAAAAGAAGAAAAATAAAATCTATAACGTTAGTGCTTATCTCTTTCCTTCTTTTTTCCATGATTTCGATTTTCACACAATAAGACATAATCCGTCTAAAAAGATTAGAAGAAATGCGTAGTAAATTTTTTTTGATTTAACGATATCTCAGTCTTCAGTAGATTATATTCATGAGATTTTATTTTCAACATAACCTAAAATATAAACCTCCGTCTAAAATGATGTCTAAAATCCATTCGTTATTCAAGCACGCACTTTTTATAATACCGGCAAGACTTGATATCATACCGCTTGTAGAAAGAGATGATCTAATGTTCTCGAAAAACAAAGTCGAACGTCCAAGGACAATTGACCTGGGTAAAAATGAAGACATTAAACGGGGTCTTGGGGCCTGTGAAAATTACTTTCCACAATAGAAACTTTTAAAATTGCAAAATCCTCCAAAAGGTTACTCTCGCTTGACGATTGGTAGAACTGCCACACTAAAATCTGTCGCAGAGCTACAGTACCGACCAAGAATAACCACTCTAGGACTGCTACGAGTTTAAAAGGAAGGTTAAGGTCTGAGCAAAGCTGACTTCACAGTGTTACCATAACAAACCTGTATCGCTGATTTCAGAATAGGGTAATTAAACCTGTATCACTGCTTTGGGGCACGAAATTTTAACTGACCATGCAAACAGTAAATCCTTACAACATGTATGCATCGCTTGGTTTGGTTTAAATGATCGAGCAGGCATTCAGTTCATATAGGATGTACACGACCATTGGGTAGTTGAAAACGAAGGAAAACACTTAGGCACCCTAAAAGAAGATAACAGAATTCTGGGTATGACAACCAAATGTTAACAGTGATTCAGGGCCACAAAAAATGCTAACATTAAGTTACCAGACTCAAATCCAAGCCGCGAAATAAAAGCAGCAGCTATGGAAACAAGAAAAAATTAAGACTTAGTAAACTAAGCAAAACACCAGGCCATCAACATAAACCAAATACACAACGAGAATTAAAGTTGCTACTGCATTCTTAACATTATAACGGAACTCCAAACAGAAACGAGTAACTCTGTGCCACGTACATCAAACAAAACATAATTATCATGTCTAAAAATTTAAGACAAACAAAAATAAAAGATGTCCGAGAAATAACAAAACTCCCTTCCACCATTCTGAATCAATTCTTCAACGGTTGGCCTTGGCAACTCTTTCGATTTCATCCTTCTTCTTAATGGCATAGCTGAAGAGGAACGAAAACAATCAGCAAACATACAGGAAAACAATCATTAAAAAACAGCGGAAAGAAAAACACCTGTTTGAGGAGCCCTTGGCTGCATTGATAAGTTCATCAGCCAAGCATTCAGCTATGGTCTTGATGTTCCTGAAAGCAGCCTCCCGAGCACCAGTGGTGAGGAGATACAGTGCTTGGTTTACACGCCTAAGAGGTGAAATATCAACAGCCTGACGCCTGACAACACCAGCTGAGCCAATACGAGTAGCATCTTCACGGGGCCCACTGTTATAAAACAACAAAAAATTGTCAAATAAACAGACAGCAAATAGTAATAATAAACAATCATGAAAAAAACAACAAACCTAACAAGTACTAATCATCTTCCAATAATTCAAACAATGAGCAATCTATGAGGAAAAAAACCTATGTACTTAACAGACCTGTTGACCACAGCATCAACAATAACTTGGATTGGGTTTTGATCAGTCAAAAGATGAATGATCTCCATAGCATGTTTGACAATCGTAACAGCCTTCAATTTCTTTCCATTGTTTCTGCCATGCATCTGAAGAGAGTTTGTCAGCCGCTCAACAATTGGGCACTGAGCCTTCCTGAAACGCTTGACAGAGTATCTCCCAGCAGTGTGAGGGACATATGTAGCATGCTTAGCTTGCACTCCAACATAGTCAGCAAGAGAAATGTCATTTACCTAACCAACAACAAACAAATCCATTGCCATGCTAAGTAATATTGTACAGCCCAAGAATTTAAAAGGCAAGTGTAAAGATGTTTAATATATCTGTTTCAGAAAACCCAATGGCACTCATTATGGTCCCAAGCATCATGAATGAATTACGACTTCAACTCAATCTAAAAACAAAAGGCAGCTACAGATCAGAATGACAATAACTGCCTACTTAGCAAACAAAGATACGAAAAAGAGATGCTAAGCTTTAAGACTATGAAAGCATGTACACTTTGGAGAAAGATAATCACTTATTAAATGTCAAACTAACTTCATCCACAAGCATGATTTCAAAATCAGGACTTTCTCTAGTACAATTCTTAACCTCATCTGCCAATCAAGGACCCTTATTTAAACACAGTCAAGCTATATATAAATAAACTAATATCCAAAAAACAATACACGTATACACTTAAAAAATAAGAACCCAACAACATCAAACAGATCAACTACAGACGCATAAAAAAAGTTACTAGAATTAAAGCCCTAACCCGCGCTCCTAAATATTCAGCACGCAAAATAAAATGCAATCTCTCAAAATTTGATATCTGTTGCATCATATTGACTAGAAAGTAACAAACAGGACAAAACATTAAAATCCGAAAAGGTGGATCGAATATGATAAACATACACGATTTCCAAAGTACAGATTAATTGATGGAGATAATATGGAAAGAAAAAAGGAAGAAAACATACGGAAATATCATCGAAGGCCCAGCGATTGAAGAGCTTGACATCGTAGTGAGGCTGAGGAGCTTCTAGGTTTGGTGGAGCCACGACTGCTGCTGCCATGTTTACTGCTTACCTATACAAACACACGACAAACAAATACGTTCAGAGAGGGCAGACTGTTTCTTATTTTTTATGAGAGAGAGATGGAAGGTGAATTGCAAACCTGAAAATTGGAGAGCTTGTGAGTTAGAGAGGCAGGCGGCACTGAGCTGACGGTGTTAGGGATTGCAGAAGTATCAAAGTGCCCTAGGCTTTTAGCGATATATAGCGGCTACAAAGTGAAATTAGGGTTTCAGGGTTTTAGTAAGACTCGAAAACTTGTGTGGGCTAAGGTATATTGGGCTGCGGCCTGTTGGGATTCCTGTTTTCTTCTGTGATTATTTAAAAAAAAAAAAAGTTTGGTAATTAATAAATTTTATTATATTGTGGTGTTCTTTTATTTTATTTTTTGCAATTTGCACCCTATAACTTCATATAGCGAAGATTAACCTTATTTTATATATTGATGTCTATGTTAATATTATAAATCAAGAAGTAAATTTTGTTAGATGAAAATCTGTTTGAAAAATGTTTGCATGGCTGCTGGGTTGATCTAACAGGATAGCATCCGGTGAAAGAGAGAGAGATCAAACAACCGTGTAAGGACGAGGGAGAGAAACAAGGGTTTGTATTTTGATTCACAGATAGTTTTTTATTTCCTAGAACTGATTTTTGGGGATGTAATGAGATTTAGGCGAACAAAACGGTCCCTTCATTTCCCTGAATTAATACTCACAAAATCTGGGTTTTCGTGTGCGTTTTCCAGGTCAAACTATTGCCTAAACACAAAATCTTCTTCCTCATCTTCAATATTGAAAGTGTGAAAATGACAACCGGTTCCTTTTCTCTCACTAAAAATCCATCAGACAATTAATTGCTTTTGTTTTACCCTTTTAACATCAAAATTCAACAATCTATGATGCTGGCATAGCAAGCCTGTTATTATTTGCATAAATTGTTTCCTCCATCATTTTAGATGAGAATAAATAAACTGCCTTAATCAATCTCTCCATAACAGGATCGTTAACATTTTAAACAAGGAGTTGAACCACTTGCCGTTGTTGAAACTCTTGAAGAGTCAAGAACCACAAAAATGGCTTTCAAGGTACAAGAAATGGGGTCGGGTGGAAGAACAAGTTAGAGTAACAACTTCACTGCTTCAAGCAAAAGTGGGCAACAAATGCCCATTGGATTCGCCTATCTCACAAGCATAAAATACTGGAGCTAGGCCAGCGAATTAAACGCAATAAACAGAAAATACTGTCAAGAAAAAAAACCATTACGGAGGAACTCAAGAAACAAAATCTCAAGTCTTTTGAATTAAACACAAAAGAAAATTCTTCTATATGTCAAGAAAATGAAAGATCATGACACCATTAGCCGATCAGCGGAGCCTCCTAGCCTCTCTTTCAGACTCAAGCAAAGTGAGAATATCCCCTTCTCTCACAGGTCCCTTCACATTCCTCATGATAAACCGATTTGGATCATCAATGAACTTGACTCTAACCTGAGTCACCTGCCCCCTCGATCCAGTCCTACCCATAATTTTCATCACCACTGCATGTTTAATTTGAGAATCCATCCTGCAGAAAAACCAAGAAATGGGCTAAGAAGATACATCGACTAGATAGAACAGCATTAACGCATGTATGAACAAGCGCCAAAGGACAAAAATAAAGAGCAATAACAAATTCACATTGATATAATAATTCAAAGGGACGCAATCAAATCATCAGGTAACACAAAATAACCCATATCCAGCCTAAGCATTGTAAAATCAGCCATCTAATGCTGCAAAAGATATGTGTAACTATCAACCTAAATCCACAGCCAAAGTTTCTTGGCAAATGGAAAACATCTAAACTATCCAATACATACGTATGGCGTTGCTCTTCACCCCACACAAAAACTAACGGAAAAAAAAAAAGATATGAAAACCAGTTCATAAAATAGCATATTAAGCTTCTTTCCCACAGAATTTCTCAGAAACCAAACAGACCTGCTATATATTTATGTTCCCAGTAAAAGCACATGCGACATGCCTACATTAAAAGTAAATAAAAAAAAATAAGGGTACAAAAAAATCGAACCAAATAAACTTTCATTCAGTGTCTACTTTCTTTTTCACGAGAAGCAAATACCAAGTTTGATTTACTGAATAGCAAATATATGAACAAGAGATAGATTGATAGAGACATCATACGAAATCTACTATTATCAAACCAGTTTTAAAAAATAAGGGATGAATGGCAAAGAATCGCAGAGAAGAGTACCTGAGAGAAGATAGCAGCAGCCGCCTGTAGTTTGGTTTTCTGGTTCTAGCAAAGCAAGAAGGCAGAAAATAAGAAAACCTAGAGTTAGGGTTTTGTTAAGAAGGGTTGGACTAGTGGTGCGGTATTTACGTAATTAGAAATTCATGTTTAATAAATTGTTTGAAAATAATTCATAGAAAGAGAAGAGAAAATGGACATTTGACCTATACAATAGGAGCCCAAATTCCCTAGGCCCAGACAGTGCAATATTGAGTTTCATATTGCATTAATTTCAATTCATACCGATTTTAAATAAGTATTAATTCCCATGTTTGTTTTGCAAAAAAAAAAAATTAAAGTAAAAATTTTTTTTCTATATTTATTTTTCATAAAAAAATTTGTAAGAAAATTGATCCATGTGAAATAATTTATGATCAACATTGAATTTAGTTTATTTGTTAAAAAATATTCTCAACTCATGATATTTTACAAACAACCCACTAACCATGCTATCCAATTATTCGACAACCATTGTCGCCACCACTATCCCACAACCTCCACCACCGTCTTCATTGCAACACCAGCGCCCCCCTCCCCCGGGTTATCAATACAATCTCATCACTACAACCATCCTCATTATTCCATCATTACTATTCTCGTTACTCTACCACCATCATTTCACCACTAAGACCTTCACCGCCTAACCCCACCCTATTACTACCATCATCCTGCTATCTTCATTAACTCCACCACAATCACCTCATTACTCTATCAGTACCACCATAGTTATTGCATCGTATTTATGATCATTATATTATCATCACAATAAATTATCATCGATCTACTATTATCATATTTATTGCATCATTATTTTCAATTCGTTATTTTATTACTATCATCATAACCACAACAACGATTGCCAGCATCTTCTTATAGTCACTATTTCATCATCACAACAAATTATCATCATTCTAATACCATCATGTTTATTGCATTATTATTTATCAAATATTGTAAAAAAAAAAAAATCATGTAAAATAATTTATAAGAATATATTTTACATGTTCTTTCCGTAAAATATTTTACACATATGCTCCCTCTATGTGGACATTTTCTTCAAATTAAATTGGCAGGATTCAATTGAATTAATTTCTTACTTTGTTTAATCTAAAGGTGTTTATGTATAATTCAATTAAAGCGTGAATTTATGTTAGATTCATTTGCTTTAAAGAAATCTTAAATTAGCCTAAATTATAACTTGTAATGTTAATGTCACTTGAATTTTTGTGTGATTGCAGTATAATTAATTTCTACACACCTAGAGAAGACCACATGATTAGTTTTTTTTTTTTTTTTAATACAAAGAGTTAGTTTTAAATTGAGAAAAAATGATCACATTTTACGTAATTAATTTAAGTATTTTTAGATTCAGGTGGTATTTTTTTCCTCAACTAAACATTGCCGGCTTGCTATCGTTGTATCTCACTTTCCATGTTAGTTTCCTTCGTGAACAATCATAAGAACCTTGCAGATGGATTTGATTTTTGTTATTGAATAGCCTCATCCCATGCTACTCGTAGCTAGTGATACAAAGTAGTAGAAGAGACTTAAAAAACAAGGGTTAGGCCTTTCTAGGTTCTGTTTTTTTTTTTTTTTTTCCTTCATCATCATCAGAAAGTGCAAGAGCAACAAGATGGATAGTAGTCATTTTTTTTACATAACAATTAAATAAATTGAAATCATTAAAACTCAAATTTATTTTATTAAAAAACTCTACCAAATATACAATCGATAACTTATGTCTAATTGTATTTATTAAAACAAATCAACATTATCTACGACAACTAGAGAGCCAATTGTGATTGAATAAATAAAGTTTTACATGAACAAAGATTTTCCACAATAATAAACAAATGAAATGAAAAAAAATATAAATATAAAAAAAATTAAGAAATAAAAAAACAACAGTTGAAATTTAAGAAATTAAAAAAACAATAATTGATTTCGCAGCTGAAATAAACACTAAATATGACCAAAACGATTATATTGTTCGATTTTATTTTTATCATGGTTTATATTGTTAGATTTGTTTCTGATTTGGAAGAAGATTTGAAATTAATTGTTATAAGGATTTAAACGAACAAACTATTATAAGTTGATAAGGGAAAAAAAGATTGTACTTGTATGCAAAGGATAGAAATACAGGGGGCAAAAGGGCAACACTGTTGAGATATAAAAACCAAAAACACAAAAATCAAATCACTCTCTTCCGCTACTGTCTGTTATTTACCACCCACTACTCTGCCGCGCTTATTCTCTGCCGTTCTCACTCTCTCTCACTGTTTGTCAATGGAACTCGCACTCTCTGCTTCGTCTTCTCTTAGAATTTCTGCTTTAAACACTCACCGCAACACTTCCTCTCGTCAACCAAAGAATCCCATCAAGCAGACGAGCAAATCATTTGATTTATTCTTCAAAATATCTGAACATTTGCCTTCAAGCAGTGGTCTTTGCAGTCTCAAAAGGAGCTCAAAACTAGGTCCAAACAGACATTACAGGCGAAATTCCATCCGGGTATGTTTTATCTCTCCATAATTTTGTCTTGTGCAAAGAATGAGAATGTTTTCACGAATGATGTTTATAATTAAATTGGAAAAAAAGTCGGCATCTTCACTGATTTTATCTTGATTGCTGTTCTTAGTTATGGTCATATTGCTTGTTGTCAAGTCGATCCCTTTCATATTTTTCCGACACGGGTGACATGGTAACTTGTTCCAACATTTTGTGTTCTCGGAACAATTAGGCAGCTGGAGGGATGGCACCCTGAAATAGAGAACGTCTAAATTTCATTGACGAGTAAGATATGTGGTGATGCAAGCAGTGGATTGCTTTCAATATGGTCAGGGAATCGAATTGTATTGAAATTTTGATCTGGACATCCATAATGGAAAAAGCTTACTTAATCCGCGGTTAGTTTTGGAATGGCTAATGTAAACTTATTTACAAATGAATGTGCAAATTCAACTCAATCAGTTTAATTTTTAAAGTCGAAATGAATCCGAAACTACTAGAAGAAATGGAAGGGTTTGGGCTGACATGAACTTGCTTATCAAATTGCTATATAGAGGAAAATGGCCTTGTTACTTTTCACGGGTGTGCAATGGCCTGTAGGTTACCATCTTCAAGTCACCGGCTGGTGCTTAGTACTTTCTCATCACATGTTCTGGGCGTTGATTTGGTTAGATCAACAAGGTCGTATACAAGTTTGGTTTACTTCATCTAAGAGACTAATGGTTCGACCTATGAAGTATTAATGTGAAACTGGCTTCTGCCAGGCCTGCAGTCAAGCTGGAGCAGCTGGATCTGATCCGATATTAAACAAAATCTCGGATTTCAAAGATGCATGTTGGAGATTTCTAAGGCCTCATACCATACGAGGCACAGCTCTAGGTTCGACGTAAGTTATTACTTTTTGTTTATGCTTTTCCACCTTAATAATTGATATCTGTTCGCACTTACTTCAGTATCGTAACTGATCCATTGTTCATCATTTTTTCTTTCTGTTGATAGTGCTTTGGTGGCAAGAGCATTGATCGAGAACACAAACCTGATCAAGTGGTCTCTGCTGTTAAAGGCATTCTCTGGTCTTTTTGCTCTGATATGTGGGAACGGATATATAGTCGGCATCAATCAAATCTATGATATTGGAATAGACAAGTATGCACCACTTTTGACTGCGGTATTCTTTTAGAGCTATTATATCTTGCTGGTGGAAATAGTCTGGAGCCTTATGTTGATCACAAGCTCTAGAATGGCTTGTAATACACATTTTTGTGGCTTGAGACCTGGAACAAGTTGGGCATCATTAGGAGATTGTCAGGCAAAGAATTATTAGTTTCAGCCATGTAATTTAATGATTAGCGAATATCTTGAAAAGAATTGTCCGAGAAAAAAAAGAGAATAGAGCTAGACTTGACTCACAAATTTGTTTGGGTGTTTTTTTTCCTAGACCATTTCAACATATGTGGTATGTATGAGGATTTTTCCTTCAATTTTAAACAATTTTCTTATAAAAACCTGCAAACTTGGATCCAAATTTTTGTGTGAAGTCTCTATCAACTTCTTGAAATATCCGAATGTGATATGTGTGTGTGTGTTTGTATTTAATTGGCATCTCTCTCTTTATTTTGCAGGGTTAACAAACCTTATTTACCTATAGCTGCTGGAGATCTTTCAGTACAATCTGCATGGTTGTTGGTGATATTTTTTGCAGTAGCTGGGGTCTTGATTGTTGGACTAAACTTTGGTCCATTCATTACTTCTCTTTACTGTCTTGGCCTTTTCTTAGGCACCATCTATTCTGTTCCTCCACTTCGATTTAAGAGATTTCCGGTTGTAGCATTTCTTATAATTGCCACGGTATGACTTCCTATTTTTACTTCCTTTTCTTTTTCAACAATTAAACTAATGCTGCATTTGCCATCTTATCCATGGGTAATTCGAATTTGGTGACTATAAAAGATTGAATGACTTGGTATTAGTCTCGGTGTTGGTCTGCATAACATTTGGAGAAAAAAACTACCATCTAAATCTGATCATAACTGATGCCACAAAATTGATCACAAAGGAAAAGATGGTGATTTTCGCTCTATGCTCTTATATGAACCATGAACATTGGTAAGTCCCAAGAAAATGATTCCTCCAACTGATTAAAACGAACTCACTCATTAAATAAGCCAGGGAAGCAAATAAACGTGGTATTGTTTCACTTGTAATTGACTTTAGTTTGTTGACAGAACTGTTTTTAAGATAGAAAACATGTTCAGATGCTATTCCATCACCAACCTCTTAAATTCCAACGATGTTTGGATCCATACAATTATTAACATTTTGATGATTATTTTTCAATTGCAAATTAGAATGCCATGATGGCATGAGTGCCTCTCAGAAATTATAACAGTTGGACAAAATTTTGATAGAACGCAATATTGCAGGTACGGGGTTTTCTTCTTAATTTTGGTGTGTACCATGCCACCAGAGCTGCCCTCGGACTTCCTTTTGAATGGAGGTACTTTACCTTTATTACATATTGCGTCATAATTTGGTTGAGATGAAATGCTCTAAAATCATGCATTCCTACCTAATATAATTCTTCAATGGTATCTGGATGTCTTGTTAGACTCCAATAACCAAATAATTGGAGTTACACTAGTGATTTAGGATTCCTGATGACATGTAGTCAATACAAAGTCGGATAGATCTTTGACAGAAAATAAAAATAAAGAAATAAACAGTTTATTCAGTCAGTTTTAGTATTTTCAACACATCTTTGTGCGAGTTATTTCCTTAATGCATTGATCAACTGACATAGGATCCATTGCTCAGTGCAATAGTGAAGGTCTTTGGCTTGCAACCACAAGGGTGCAGGTTCAAGCCTTTGGACCAGCCCTTCATGCAAACATGTTGAAGGATGAAACCATTTTAAATCTCCCCTCTTTGGTGAGGCATAACTAGTTAATGGATTTTTAATTGATCAATTGGCATACCAGAAGTCTGCAAGGCAGTTCTGTAATAAGCCCTTAAGCTGCAGCTTCTCCCTGGCTTGAGGTGCACTGTAGCATCTGAGTCAGTAAATGTTGCAACTTTTATATTGGCTATACTGTTAAAAACGACTCAATATATTTAGGTTGTTTGTGTAAAAGCTATTTAACCATCTGCTTTAAAACTTCAGAAAATCTATAAAATTGGTATTTCAGCTATGCCCATTGTCTAAACTATGATGATTTTTTCTAATGTTCTTCAATTTCTACCTGCAGCTCACCGGTGGCATTCATTACAACCTTTGTCACACTGTTCGCGCTGGTGATTGCTATAACAAAAGATCTTCCGGATGTAGAGGGGGATCGCAAGTAAGTTGTAGATTTATGCTTCTTTTTATGAATTTTCTCACTCGAGGTGATTAACTGTGCATTTGCCTCATGTTTGCGGTATGCCAACTTCCTGAGTTGAAAAACATTTATGACTTTGATAGTGACATTCTAGTTCATAGTTACTTATCACAATGTTCCTCCATATTGTTTTCTTAATTCATTTTCTCCCACACCCAGAGGCGTACCACCTGTACATTTTAATTTCAACATGTACATGTGGTCTCATATCTCATTTTATATTGTCACTGCAGATATAACATATCAACTTTAGCAACTAAACTTGGAGTTAGAAACATTGCATTTCTTGGTTCTGGGCTTTTACTGGTGAATTATGTTGGTGCTATAATAGCAGCTATTTACATGCCTCAGGTATAAGTTTTCTTTGAAGCTTTTCCTGTGCTTATATGGAACTCATAGAATTTGTTGGAGGTCCACCTCAATTCTTGACTTTTCTTCCATGAAAGCAAACTTAACTCCTTCACTTGCATCTTTTACAGGCTTTCAGGCGTAGCATAATGATACCTGCACATACGCTCCTCGCACTGAGCTTGATTTTCCAGGTGTGTTTCATGGGATTACTAAGTAAATTGATTAGCACTGTGACTAGGATGTGACTTCTAGTGTGTGTTTTGGCTGGTATTTTTCGTTTGATTTATTCTTGTGGTTTATTTCCTTATTCAGCAACATAATATCAATTCCTTCTTGCAGTTCTCTTTAATTTGCTTATTCTTATGAGGACATTGATTTGTGCTTCTGTTCTTTCCTTGGATCTCATTATTAAATTTTGGCATGTGTAATGGGTTTCTTTTTTCTTTTTTTTAAATAACAATAATAAATCAAGTTTGGCATGATCACTGTGTCTTACTACGAAGAAGTTACTGGTTCCATCTAAGGAAGGCCTTCTCATCCAGCTTTTTGTCCTCTTAAGATAGTGAATTGGTGTATGAGGTCTACATGAGATACGAATAAGCCAACCTTGCATTCAAAACTATTATGCTATTAGCTTACTGACCTTGGAGCACTAGCAAGTTCCTCATAGTTAGTGTAGTCTTTGATGAAGACCTTCAAACTGTTGCCACTAACTATAATCCCTCCTGGGTTTCCACGTGCACAATAGATCGGGGAATCAAAACACAGAGAAAGCAACATACTAAGTGCACTTTGTTTTGCTAAAGTTTCACTCTTTGCAAAACTGGCATATTGATTTTTTCCTCAGTGAGGGGATGGAGATAGGCTTGATCGTTATCTTTTGAGTCAGATGGCACCCCTTACTAAAACTACAACTATTATATTGTTCTTAAACATCAAAAACAATGTTTAAATATGATAAGCAACGAGAATTCTGATTGTTGCTCCTAACATTTTCTGCGCTCGTGAAGAATTTTGGATCCTAATTGTGCATACTACAGGTATAGATTTTGAATCAAAATTTTCAACATACCATCATACAGAACTGAAGGTTTGCATGGATACCACAGTTCATTGAGTTTCAAGTGCTATGTTCTTTAGGATAGATCTTGTCTATGCTTTTCTGCTGGTTGCTGATTTTATCGGATCATGTAAACTGTGTAATAATTTTTTTCCCTCTTACATGCATCTTATTTTGTCTGTCTCAGACGTCGGTTTTGGAACAAGCAAATTACACGAAGGTAATGCCTAGTTTCATGTCGCAAGGTCTGGAGATTTCTGCTATAGTCTCAATTTGGATGGAGGATTTCACAGATATGTGTGTGCGTGCGTGTGTGTGCGCACGTGTGTTCATCCCTCAAAACACTATAGGAGATTATTCAACAATTATTTTGACTCAACAATGAAGAGGAATTAGGTTTTTGCCTTTAGGCAATTCATCTAATTCAACTTAAAACTAAAATTTCACTGATTCTAATGTGTGCCTTCTCTATTTCTCTAATTTTTCAATTTGGGGGAGCTGAAAAATGTATATATTGAAAATATACATCTAGATATGCAAATCATATTTCCAGAAAAGTAAAGGACTCCTCTTGTTGCTTTGAGGACACTTCATATTATTCATTTTAAAAACGGAGATTCTTCCTCTGTTTTTAAATCTAATACATCAGTTTAAACTTTTGCATTTAATGGGAAATGGATCAAAAGGAAAACATGCTTCCTCCTGAACAAAATAAAAAGAACACATATGTTTTTAATCATTGCTGAGATTGATTTGAAAATTTTACTTCTATACAATGTTCTCTTGTCCACTTTTGTCTCACTTCAGTTACGTACAGAATGCATAGCGAATTGATCATGTCTGCATATAATGTCCAGAGACTACTGCATTGGCAGACATTTGAGAAAAGTCGAGCTTGATTGAGGACATTTTGCAATTTTACCATTTTCTTTGCCACTTATTTTCAGTTATTATAAGCCAGTTCAATCATGCTTATATACTGAATTCGGTGTAGCTTCTATAAAGTTTGCAACTGTTTAAAAATTTGACTTGTGATCCTTAATTAGGCAACAGCAATGAAGCACACACCTCCCTTGGATATGATTTCTCCAAATATGTATATATTGAGAATTTTTTTCAGATGTCCTGATTATATTCTTGTTTCCATTTGCAGGAGGCAATCTCAGGGTTCTATAGGTTTATATGGAATCTCTTTTATTCTGAGTATATCATATTTCCTTTTATCTAGGCCGAATCCTGAATTTTTTTTTCAGAGTTTAGAGTTCAGAGAGAGAGAGAGTTGCACTTTCTTGTGTACATATCTGTTATTTTGCAACAGAAACCATTGTAGTCTGTAACATGCAATAAGCATCACCTTGTACCATTGTATCAGTCTCTTCCTCAATAGCAAAAAGTAGTGAGATTTAATTTTATCTTCTGAATCAATTACTCTCTCTCACAGGCGTCGACTTGGACCTTCTGCACATAAGAAAGTCTGCTAAAATCAGTAAATGAGATTGAATTAAAAAACAAAAACAAAAAAAACAAAGTAAAAGAGACGTGCACCAAGAAATGCAGAGAATATGCTGGAAGTGATGAACTGCTAGGGGCAGTGGGTGTTCATGATAGGGATACACCCATCTAGTGGAACCTGGTGACAGAAGGTGATTCTCTGCAGTGCTTTTGCTTGTACGGGGCTGTTCTCAGGTCTCCCAAGTCCCAGGTTCAGTTTTTAGGCTTGCAACCACGAGGTACAATGTTCCGAGTTCTGAAAGAAACTACTTCGCCTAGTAAAGCTGGAAGGCTAGGACTGACTTCACATTCTCCCTCACAAGGAAACAATTGTCCTCACTTCGACTATTTCACCCTAATTTTGGATGTGATGATGCCAAGAAATGTGATGGCGTGTGGTTGAACTGGTTTCAGAGGACTATAGTATGGACCAAGATCATGCATGCCATGATCCGGTTGAATAATGGAAATTCCCAAACACATCCTGCCATCCAATATCCTGGCAACGTCAAGGTTTTCTCCAAGCGCACACCCTGATCGCAAGATATTCGAGTTTTTGCAGCTCAGAGTAGGACCAAAAGGAACTTCGAGAATGAAAGAAACCCTTTGTCTTAAACATAGGGACTGCAAAGAACCTGCATAACCCTTTCTTTTTCATTCCTTTTTTGTGTCTCTACAAAAGAGAGGTATTGAGAAATTCAGTATAAATAAAATACAAAGAATGCCCTGTATCATCATTCCTATCCCAGTATTAATAAATCAGCAAAAGAAAAATTCTTGATCTAACACAATCTAAGGGTTTGCTGTCTGTGAAAACAACACCTGGTCTGGACCAAGGGGACTTCTGGATGATGTTTCTTTACATAATGAAGCTGGTGTCAAAACCATTGATGATGAAACCTTCGGGCTAAACCGAGACGAGGTCCGTGGTGATGAATTATCACTTCTTGTTCTTGGTGACAAGTTTGCATGCTCTAAAACCCGGAATTGAAGCTCTGATGGATAATCCCTCATGCATCCTATCCGTGGCCCTGCACCAGTAGTCCATCTAGAGGATAATTGCTCCGCCAGTTGGTATGAATTCATTCCTTTATGAGAATCTATCCTTTTCAGGATTTTTTCTTTGGGGACAGGCTCCTCGTCTTCTTCTTCTTCATCTTCGTCAAACAAATTAAGTTTAGTAATCATGAAATCTTCCTCGGTCAAAAATGAATCTTCTGCCGTTTCATAACCATCTTCTCCAGGAGAATCAGGATCTTCTGCCTGACAGCTTCGTTCAAGTTCTTCTGTTTTGAAAGTGTCAAGCAAATCTCGTCTTGTTGGTATTTCAAGTTTAGTAATTTTTAATTGTAGTCCACGTGACAGTTTTGATGTGCGCAGATTAGCATTTTCTGCCACATTAGAAACTCGTTTCCTTGAATCTGTGTTTGCTGTAGCCAAGATTTCAAGATTTGTTGCTTTGGTTTCTTGAAGTAAATCAGCATCTGGTTGGTCTATGAGACTACCAAGAGTGTCCTTTTTGATAATGGATTCATCTTCTTCATCAATTGGGCTTTCCTGTAAATATGAGAGAAGAAGAGAAGTGCATCAATGATTTGCCTCTATATTTCTGAAAATGCATAAATGACAGCTTGAAAACAAATAACTGATCTGCTATTGACCCTGGTGCACAAAGTTCCCACATAAAAGAACAGCACGAGTCTTTTGGCTTCTTACAAAGGTGAATTTGTTATTGATATCAATCGTAGAGCTGTCCATATTTGGCATGACCCCGATTGAAGGAAAATGTTAGTAATTTGGATGCTGTCAGCTTTTAGTTACTGTTGAAGAACTTTTGTTTCCTGAGTTTATACAAGATTCTAAATTCATTGAAGTTATTGATAGCAAACTTAGTAGTTCCGTACCTTTACATCAGTTAGATCTACATCGTGTTCCCTAAGGAATGATATGAATGCCTGGAAGTTTTCTTCTGTTGGGAGATAATGGCCGCTGTGAGGCCAAACTGCCTGTCAAATTGAAAGAACCTTATAAATATATAAAGTATAATTAGCAGAAAAGGGAGGAAGTTAGTGAAGCCATATTTAAACGCCAGCCGCAGTTTATTCTACCTTCAGAAGACCATCTTCCACAACTAATCTTCCAGCAGATAGAGTGGCTCCACCAGCCAAGAAACTTGAATGCTGAAATGTTCCCTTTATCTTCAAACCAACATACAAGGTCTTTGATGTACTGAGAACAAAAATCCATTTGGCATCCTTGGGTCCTTCTGTTGTGTGGAGAAGTTTCCCACTTTGTTTGTATAAAAACTTTCCATTCTCCACAGCTACTTCAAAAGCCTCTCTTTCAATCTGAAAAATGAATGACCAATACTTGTAAGAGGAAAAAAATAAAGAAAAAAAGATGGTAGAGTTTAGCAGCATTTATGAAACATTGTCATTGCATTTCAAGTTCAAACTGAAGCCAAAAACTGCAGTAACTACACTAACCACCAGATTTTGCAAGTCCTCTTATGACTATTGGAATAATAGATTGATAATAAAAGAAGATACTTACAGGACCAAGATATTTTATGCATTGTTGTTGAAGCTTAGATCTAGGACATCTATCAAGGTTCACTTCTTTCCCATCTCCAATATCGAGCCTGCAGGTTTAAGAGGTTTGGTATCAATTGTGAATAATGTCTGTCATGAAGCAAAGATGACTTTGTCCTTTGTCACATGCAAGTCTTCAATTTCAAGAAATCTTACCAATAGAAGAAAGGCTGTCTACTGTGGCAGTGAAGCCAATTAACATAATAAAATTGAAGATTATGTCCATAACGATGCCGTGGATCAATCTATTAGAAAGAAAAACCAATATCAATATGAGGTAAAGTAAATTAGCAACATCTTTCCAAGGTTTTATTTCAAGACTGGATCTTACTGCCTCGAGCCAATGCTGTAAAGCTAGCTTCCGAGCCATTGCGTCCTTTGACGAACCTTTTCCTACCTGCAAAGGATAAAAAGTTCTGACACTTAGAGATCCAAGAACAAATGTTATCAGTATATATACATCAATATCTTTAGAACTTACCTTGGCAGCTCTCATTCTCGCTCTTGACCAACGTGAAATTGCACTCTCAGGTTTCTCAATATGAAAAAAAGATATGGAACTTCTCTTGAGTTCTGCAAAATCCAACAACTTCCACCTACAAAATTTGCAAGAACTTTAATCTTCAGTGAAAAAGGAGTTATCCTACAACAGAATTACAAGAAAAACCTTTTGAAAAAAAATATATATATAAGAGGAAGTGAGAGACAGATTTCACTCCATGAAATATGTACAGAAGGAATTTTAGACTAATACCAACCATCTCTGCTCGACAACAACTGCACAATCAGCCAGCTGCCTCCTGATTCTGAAGCTTTTATACACTTTCTGCAACGTCACTGCAGCCTGGTGCCTTTGGTTCCCAGACTCAGGCATTGACAAGTGGAGTTTTTTGTCAGACAAGCTATCTGATCTTGTCAACTGATTACCCCTTTCTCCAACTTTAGGACTAATGATTGATCTCGCAAGCACGTCCATGTCCGAGGTAGTACTTTTGAAGGACAATGTGGCACTCAATTCCCTCTCCTTAAAGGTAAGGCATTCTTCAGATATCACCTTTCCTGAACCATATGATCTCAGCGAATCAGGTTCTGAATCATGGCCATGAAAGCCAACAGATTGCAAAGCAGTCACCGTGTCTTCACTCCCAAAACTAATTGATCTCACAAGAACAGAGTCAAAAGGACTATCCAATTCATCATATTCGGCAAGGGCACATGAAAAGGCCATTCCCATTTTAGGAAAGGAAACAGAGATATCTTTCTTAAACTCCAATTAAACAAGAGCTATGGGTCTCAATAGCTGTTAGAATAAGTAGAACAAAGAGAATTAATTCAAACTAAAAATGCAAGAAGATTTGTATCTATATGAAAGGCATAGTACGGTAGAAATATCAAGGCCAATTTTTAGTAATCCCAAGTGTTCATAAACAACTAAAGAAAAAAAAAGGTCACACACCATTTTTTTCTTCTTCGCTGTTAGAAAACTGTTGGTTGGAGGAACAGGAGCAAAATATAAGACATTCAAGATGGAGGCTTTCAGATTAAACAGACAAAGAACAAAGCTTTAACCCAAGACATTAAAATGGGTATCCAAACATCCGAATATAATCACATCAGGAAATGGTCAAGCACACTAAATAATAACAATTAATTTATGAGGCTCCTGTTTGTAATGAACTTAAACCCCTTCAAACCCATCTTCCCAAAATACATTTTTAACCAATTAAAAAAAAAACGTTGAGCCACGTTCCATGGCACCAGTTATACAAAAAACAGCATAAACATGAAAAAATCATAAAAAGAAAATCAGGGAAATTTTCATTTGAACTCTCTATTTTTCTATCTCGATCATTTCATAACACAAAAAACACAATGACATTAACGTCCAGAATGCCTCATTATTTTGCTTCTAATGCCTTACCTTAAAGAAAACAAGGAATGAAAGTACAAAAATCAACAACATGAGATGGAAATGAAGGAAATAGAGCAAGCTTACCTCAATCTGAGACAGGAGACACACAAAATCTTTGAAGGACAAAATGCAAGACGGAGAGGACCAAAGAATTAATGTTAAAGAGAAAGGAGGAATATTAAAAGAAAGAAAGAAAGAAAGAAAATGGGAAAAATGTTTGGGATTGGATTTGGTAAGAAATGTGGGAGGGAGCGAACAATGTGGGATTTGTTAATGTTTTTTGCAGGTTGTAAGGATTGTTTACAGATTGGCTTCGATCGTTTTAATGCTCTCTTTCTCAAAGAACGTGTTGTGTTCTTTCTATGTTAACAAAATAGGTTGGCTTCCTTTGCTATTCTTGCAAATTAGTGAGATTATATACAGAGAAAAAACAGCAAGAGAAATGGAAAGGGATGGGTGTAACAGGTTGACAGACTCCAACCACGTGTGCTAACTTCAAACAACTTTCTTCACTTCTTCCTTTTTTTTTTAACAAATTAAAAGAGCTTACGTTCATTTAAGATAGTATAATTTATAGTTTTCCTTTTTCAAGCGTAAAATATAGCGTACTAATCTTTATTCATTCCTTCCCTTCAGTATCTCCAATTTTGGAAAAATTTGTTTTTTTTTTTTCGAGAATAAAGGGTATTCTCGAATTAATTTATATGTGAATCAAAATTAAATTTTTTAAATAATTTTATAGTGATCGCACCTTCACATCCACTTAGTGAATTCGAAAAAATTTAATAACTTTTCTTAAAGGTTAAATTCTAGTTTTAAAGTTTGAATTTAATTTTTTTTTTAAAAAAAAAAAAGCAAACCTTGTTAACCACTATATTAATCTCTTCTAGTTGATCTAAAACATGATTTTAGGAGCTAATTTAATTCACAAGTCCGTTCAAAAATCAAAATGTGGAAATTATTACTGTAAAAGGTGATTGATATTAAAGATTTTTTTTTTTTTTGGTAGATAAAAGAATATTTTTCAAAAGATTAAATTTCTCAAAATTGCGATCGAAGAGTGGATCAGCCTTAACTAACTAAATCAATTACCTACTTTTTTTTAATTGCGAAGTCAAGTAACTGCTTTAATTAAGTGCTTATAAAGCAGCATTTTACACTCCTACGTACGTCTAAACCAAGTTGTTGTTTGTAGTAATTTTCGTACACCAGATCATTGTTAGTGTTAGACTGCATTCGTTTCGTGACGTACGAGGACGAATCAAAATTCAAAGGTTGCCGTGAGTCATGCGCAGCTAAGAGGAACCTTGCTGCACATGATCATCTGTAATTTCTGTGTGTTTTCCCGAGAATCGCAGATTGGTTTGTGGTTGAGGTTAGTCTCAATTTCATGGACTAATCTGGTTGGGTTATTAATTACAAACCTAGCTAGTCAACTTTCTACTTCGTTGACGGGCGGGGTAGGTCCCTGTCTTAAATAAATTTGTTAATTAAGAAGGGGAGGGGATCTAGGAGGCATATTGAGTAATGCTCAAAAAGGGGTCTTTTATAAGAAGAACATGAACCAGTTCAGTTTATGGCAAATTGAGATCCATTCAGGGTAGTTGATGAACTTTTCTTTTAATTCTAAAATAAAGAGTATTCTCGAATTAATTTATATATCAATCGAAATTAATTTTTTAAAATAATTTTATAGTGTTTGTATCTTCACATCGACCTTTTTGCATTAAAAAAAATTTAATAACCTTTTTAAAAGTTAAATACTAATTTCAAAATTTGAATCTAAAAGATAAAAAAATAAAATAAACCTTGTTAATCACTATACTAATCTTTTAGAGTTAATCTAAAACATGATTTTAAAGCTAATTTAATTCACAAGTCTGTTCAAAAAATCAAAATGTTGAAATTATTACCGTAAAAGATGATTGATGTTAAAGAATTTTTTTTTTTTTGTAGATATAAGAATTTTTTTTTTAATGATTAAATTTCTCAAAGTTGCGTTGGAAGAGTGGATCAGCCTTAACTAACTAAGTCAATTATCTACCTATTTTAATTGTGAAGTCAATTGCCTGCTTTAATTAAGTGCTACATAAGCAGCATTTAATTAAGTCTAAACCAAGTTGTTGTTTGCAGTAATTTTCATACACCAAGTCATTGCTAGTGGTAGACTGCATTTCTTTTGGGATGAGGACGGGTCAAAGGTTGCCGTGACTCATGCGCAGCTCTGAGGACCCTTGCGGCACATGATTATCCGTAATTTCTGTGTGTTTTCCCGAGAATCGCAGATTAGTTTGTGGTTGAGGTTAGTCCCAATTTCACGGACTAATCCGGTTGGCCTATTAATTACAAACCTAGCTAGGGAACTTTGTACTTCGTTGACGTGCGGGGTAGGTCCCTATCTCAACTAAATTTGTGAATTAAGAAGACGCATAAATGATGTGGTGGTCGTGGAGGAGGAGGAAAGGGGTGTGGGCGCGGTGAGGTGGTAATAGATAAAAGATTAGTTTTCGCAATCTAGGAGGCATACTGAGCAGTGCTCAAAAAAGGGTCTTTTTTAGGAGGCACACGAACCCGTTCAGTTTATGGCAAATTGGGATCCATTCAGGGTAGTTGATGAATGTTTATGCTTCGTTTACAGTCTATCTTCATACCAAATAATAATAATAAATTCATTAATTACTTATTTTAAAAGTTTACCTAAATTAATTACGCTTAACATGCTTTAAAAAGTCAATCAATTATTATCAAAAGTAGTAACATCATTATTAATGCTCAATTAATAGTGTCGGCATTGCGGTGCTGTAATATCATCCTATACATATAGGACATTTTCAAATCAATAAATTCTATAAAAACCTCGTGTGCTATTAGCAGTTTTGATGTTTTTTTTTATATATTTTTTTCTTTTTTAATTTTAATACTTTAAATATTTGGTGTTTAAATTATATATATATATATATATATATATATATTTTTTTTTGCAATGCGATTTTACCACCACTGATCACAAGACCATCATAAATAAAAGATTTTATCATTATGAATTCATACATACAAAATTCGGATCCAGCTGTTACAAAATTTGATATTTAAGATTTTAAAATTTTGAATCTAAATACTAAAACCAAAAAAATTGTATTTATTTTCAATTTTAAAATGATTTTTGATATTGGAAAGGAAATTGTTTTGATATATATTTATATTTGTTTCCTCTATCATAATGAAAATAAGGAAGACCAACTATTTATATTTTTTTCAAAATATTTGTAACCCCGTGAGATAGCAGATATTAATTTCGAATTTTTTATTATTTATTTTCATAAAAGAAGAAGAAGAAAGATTCTTGATATATTTTGTAATTAACTGATTGTTACTAGTATTATTGAATTCAATTTAAGATAGGTTTGTAAAATCATAAGTTATTTCATGCTCATGTACATGATTTACTATTTACCTGCATGTTTTGAAATGTTTCTTACCCTTTTCATTCCATTGATAATACAGAGTAAATAAACTTGAAATTAGAAATCAACCAAAAATAAATAATAGAAACAGCTGCTCTTCTCGTGTGGACAGAAACAAAGCAAAAATTAATACTAATAAATAATTTGCACAAAAAAAAAACTAATAATAATAAATTATAAAAATAGCAGAAAAGAAATGTGCCGGAAAGTTCGGCAAGTCAGCCTCCACCGTCACAGTACGCCGATTAATGGTACCCTAAAGTACATTTTTCGTTAATTAATTAAAACCTAGATCGCCACGAGAAGTGCTAACTCTTGCCCCGGTCGCATTGCTTTGAGGTAATTGCCACGCTCCGCGAACTTGCAAGTGATTCTCTGTGAGAGTGGCTACGCCGGACTCTGGGTAGCGTGGACTAATTGAAGGAGAGTCAGCGACACATACATGGTGTGTCACGGCCAGCCAACTGTTTCTTCTTGGGACCCATGCATATACAGCTGTGGTACTTTGTCATGTACGGACATCCTCAATTTGGACATACCACGTAGCATCGTTTTACACGGGTTTTAAGGTTTCTTTTTTTCCTTCGTAACGTTGACAAGAATTAGAAACTTCCTGGTGATGGGGAATTTTTTTTTAATAAAAAAATCATTCCACTAGCAATTGATCGCAAAACTAAAATGGATAATTTGAAACTTCAATAAATATATAATTATTTAAGATATTTTTTTATTGATCAATTTATACATTATTCAAGATAAAATTCTTTATTAAACAATTTTGAAAAATATATCCTTCACATTAATGTAGTGTATTTAGAATAATTTAATGATTTCTTTTAGATGTTGTCTTCAAAATTT